TATCCTCGAGCTATGAGCGAGAGACCTCCGAGATTCTCCTCCGATCACGGCGTCATAGTATGCGTGTTCGTCTATTTTCGGCTGGAATCCGTAACGTGGCTTTTCGAGCCGCGAATCGTTGTACTGTGATTCTTGACGATGCCAGAGGTCTGTCGATAATCAACGCCTAACAAATCTTTATTCGAACGACTAAGAGCACGGAAGTACATCGATTCTCCATCGAGAACGACTAAATCGATTTAATGTTAATTGACTTCAGAAATAAAAAAGACAACAACAAAAATAAAAGAATAGAAAAATGTAAAGAAAAAAAATACTAAGAGAGACTAAAAACTAAAAAACGATAACATTAGAGGATCTTCATCATTTGGGAAAATGCGGTTTGGATTTAAGTAGCAAATGCGACAGATATTTGATTGCTTTTCTATAATGTAACTTTATTTGAACAGGATATGTGCTTGGACGTTTAAAAATATATCGTCCTGTCGTAGCAGCATTAAAATATAAACTACATAAATATATATTATATATATAAGTATATCTTAGATTCAAAAATAATATTCTTCGATTTACAGCGAGATATTACCACAACATCTAACATAGCACTCGCTAAATTGAAAGGTATTTATTAATTTCTTTACTCTATCGAACACGCCAACGCACGACAATCTAAAAATCGAGGAAGACGTGAAAACCTGTAAGGAATGCCATTATAATTTTGCGTTATCTTTATAATTAGAAACATCGCGCTAGCACTGTTCTAGAATATACGTGTCATAGAACTAAAAAATTATCTGAATTTATTTTTTCCTTTGTTATTTATTAGATCGCAGTAAACAAGGCAAACTTTTGGCGCATTCCTTTATCGTTCCGTGCTCAATAAATCCGCAAGTTCGGCCGGAGTCGTCACGGGTAAGGAACATGTTCGATATTTACATACATAGGCTCTCGGTACACTTTTGTCCTGCTTCATCTTGGCAAGGACCTTGTTTTTGCGAATTAATATATCATCGGGTTTATTCGGATCCGCAAATATTAGAACCTGTCCCGGTATCAGACGTTCGCGTACAACGCGTAATAACTCGTTCGTATCTTCCGCGTCCGAATTTCCTATTATATAGATCTGAAAAAAATTAACTTTCATCGTTCGATCCTATTATCACTCCCTCCCCCTTTGTCTATATCATAGACAAAAACAAATATACATACATACCTCCGTAGAACTATCGTGATAATGCAACAACGTTTTCACCATTTCCGCTAAGGAACTTGGTAACTGCGTCAAAGGTTTCTGGAACGAGGTAAGAAGACGTTCAGCTTTATCCTTGAATTCGATACGTTCCAAGTAAGTCGTTAATCTCAATAGATTTCCACAGGCAATCGAGTTGCTGCACGGTTCCGCACCATCGTGATCTGCAAACCCGAGATCATAAAAGTCACGATAACAAGCACAAGGATATTTTATATCTCAGCTTTTTGACGATGCCTCCTCATACTACACGACGACTAGTACACCAAACCGAAACACTGAGCAGACGTGCCGCTATAAATATTTTGACGTGATAGTCTTCGCTAGCACATAACACGGCTTCTCTTTAAAGAAACGAGAGAGGTAGGTATATCTCGAATCAAAATCGGTTAAGCGCTTTTGCGCGACCACGAAGAATAAACTTTAATTATCTTGAAAACGAGCTAAAATTACATAGAAAAATATTTTTCATCATACCGTCCCTGAGTCGTAGAATTATCGTAGGATCGTCCTTGGTAGTTGAGTAATAGCCGCCATTCGTAGTATCCCAAAAGAGCTCGTCCTGAATATCCTGAAGTGTCTCGGCAAACTCCAACCAATGTGGATCTAGATTAGCTTCGTACAGATCTAACAACCCCTTCACAACAAATGCATAGTCCGCGTGGTAGCCTCTTATAGGTACACTCCTACGATATTTCGTTCGCTTCATCGATATTCCCATCTATTCTTAACCCTGATTTTTAACCCTTTAAGGGCCGCAACCTGACAACGCTTAAGACAACAGTACAGGATGCGGAACAGTAAAGGGTTAATGGATTCGACGCTAACCTCCTATACTTACGTTAACACGACAGCGTCGTTATCGCTACGGTAACAACTACGAAGCAATAAACGTTCGGATTTATCATACAGATAACGTTCGATAAACTTGGCAGCATCCGTTGCCAAATCGACGTACCGCTTATTACCCGTTGCAGACCCAGCTCGGGCTAAGCCGCTTATCATTAGACCTGAGTTAGGAATGGAAATGTGAATAAATGAGAAAGACCATTATTAATGATTAATGGTGATTAATAACAATCATTAGAGCAAGACATTAGTAAACATTTCTCACCATTCCACGCAGCTAATATTTTATCGTCTAAATGTGGCCGTGGTCTTTTTTCTCTAACTTCGAAAAGCATTCGTGATGCTTCTTTCAAAAGAGTTTGCGTCTTCTCGACCGTTAAACCAAAGTGCTTTGCTGTATCTTCAACACTACCGTAAACGATTAACACGTTTTGCTTGCTCAATTCGCCATGAGGATCCTAAGAGAGAGAATTTCTCAACAATGTTCATACCCGTAATAATGACTTTAATAGATCTATCTACGTACTCGACGCGGAGGTACATTTCCCTTCGGTTTGACAGTGAAATGAAAACAGAAGACCTCGCTTAATTTCAATCCTTTTTTATCGACCACTTCTTGAGCCAAAAGCGTATTGATTTCATCGTACGACCAAACGTAAAAGGCACCTTCTTTCTTTTCCCTTGATGTTTCCGTAGGATATGAATCCGCATCTTCGGCACTGTAAAAGCCACCCTCCTACGATGATGATCTCAATTATAATTGTAGATTTGAACGAGTCTGAAAAAATGTTTCTATAATAAATGCAACAGTAGTACCTTGTGTCTCAAATCTCGAGAAACGTAAGTAGCTATGTCGTCAATAATCTCAGCAAAGAACGGATCCTTGGTAGTTAGAAATGCTTCGGTATACGATTGCAACAATTGGCCCTGATCGTAGAGCATTTTTTCAAAATGTGGCACGTGCCATTCTTCGTCAACAGAGTATCTTGCAAAACCCTTAAGGGTGAAATGAAAGGCGAGAAAATGAGCAGGTCGTCAAAAAAGTAAATGTAGAGATAAATGTAAACTCACTTGACCGATATGATCGTGTATTCCACCAAGTGCCATTTTTTTAAGAGTATTCACGCACATATCCAAACATGTGCGAGCGATATCGCTAGATGGATCACGTGCGTACATATAAAAGAGAAGATTCAAATAGACCGGCTGAGGAAACTTAGGTGCCTCGGAAAATCCACCAAAATTAGGTTCGTAAGAGTTCCTCAATAGGTAAACACATGCCATACCACATTCCTCCGAAGGTACAGATCGTTCCTGTTTAAAAAAGTAGAATGAGTCGATGTCAAGGCCGATTCTAATCGACTACACTGTATACCCATTGTCTTTCTTTCGCTTACGATCAGCCCGCCTTTGTTCTCGACTGCGTTCTTCAATCTCTGAATAATGGTCCCACCGAGTAACATTAGTTCGCTCTTATTCTCGCGCCACTGTAAAGAGCAATTCAAGCGATCAAAATCTACCGTACGATTTAGTAAGATACGATGTTTGCCGATTGAGCCGAAATTATTCAATCTTTTAAAGATACCTCTTTAGAAATACTAAACAGGACTGTTTGAAATCCAGGTAATCCGTGTCTATCTTCTGGCGGAAAATAGGTTCCACCTATGATAGGTGTCAAATTCGGTGCGAGAAATACGCTCATCGGCCAACCACCGTGTCCAGAAATAGCCTACCAGAACAATCACTTTATCGAAGAATATGTCTTGACAATATTTCCTCTCACTTAATATGAATTCATATCAATTTATGCGATACCTGAATAAATGCCATATATATTCTATCGATATCCGGTCGCTCTTCTCTGTCAACCTTTATATTAACAAAATTCTTATTCATGATCTCAGCAATTCGTGGATTCTCAAAGGACTCCTTCTCCATAACGTGACACCAGTGACACGTCGAGTATCCGACGGACAAGAAAATCACCTTGTCCTCCGCTTTTGCTTTCTCTAGAGCTTCGTCTCCCCAAGGATACCACTGTACAGGATTTCTTGCATGTTGCAATAAATAAGGTGACTTTTCCAAAGCCAATCGATTTTGTCCCTTCTTGAGTAACGTTTCATCAATATTTTTCGTATCGTTTTTCGTCGAGGATGCCATCGTTTTCGCAAACAATTTTAAAGATATTTCGGAATTATATGTCGATCTAAAAATAAATCCCTTTCAAATTGTTATACAAATTATCAAGACGATAATTCACGTATACATTAATATGTAATGAAGAGAAATATTTTCGAAGAGTGTTATTTAATTAAAGTGTATATATTATTGTAGTAATATTATCTCACACATATGTGCGTAAATTTTACCTGCACAATTGTGATCCAATTATTACCGAAGTAAAATCTTGTAACGAAGATCTACTTTTTCGACCACTGCGACTGTATTGTTTCTTAGATAATTCGGATAAATATCGTATTGATAGTAACAGGCTGCTTCTTCCCAAAAGCATAACAGATGTAGCATGGAAAATTTATCTACGACGATATATATATTTGTATATATACAACTGATTTTGTATTTTAAATTTGGCATGTTAAGTTTCAAATCAAATTCAATCAGTTTCGCGGTATGTCGAAATTAAAGATGGCGTCTACGCATTCTCGTATAGGGTATATCGATACTGTATATAAATGCATAATATTCAGAAATAATACTTTAAATGTTCATATCTTTTATTTTAAAATAATATGACATTAGTCTTGTTAAAACAATAGTACGCGAATAATACCAATAAATCGTTATATGTTGTCTTATGTGAATGAAACGATATGAAATGCATATAAATATAAGTAATAAAATTTTCTAACCTGTAACGACATCGAAATATATCGAACGCAACACTGGATACTTGTTTTCCTTAAAATTGAACAACACTACTGAATGTCACTCCTTTATAATAACAGACCCGTTAAAAATGCAGTGACGTTTGATATATAGATTACAATGAAGTATTAAAAAAAGCTTAGGTGACCTTCGCTAATGCGTAGTTGGTAATTGCGTCTGCTCAGTTGTTTTGATGTGGTCTGAGACAAGACGTACGATGCCTTCGATACTTTTGAATATTTTTAAATAAATCTGAACTAAATCGTTTAACTTTTATGATTTCTTAATGAATAAATTAATCAAGATTAAAAAAAAAGTAATATAATAAAATATAATAACTATCGATAAATTAGTAGACAAAAATGATAAATGTATAATATTCTCAATAAAATTTTCGCGGTAAAAGTAGTTGCGTAATAATTCATAGGTAGCGCAACAGTAAACGTCATATTAGAGATCCTATAGAAGGGACGCGCCAAAGAATTTTTGGGGGACAAGAACTCGTGTAGTCACGTGATTGCGCGCGAATGATTCAAACATTTTAAATAGTATAAAAGTTGTATATAGTAATAGTGAATAGTGTAGGGGGTAGAGTGGTGAATTGGTTCGAAAAAATTATGAAATAATGAATTACAACATAATACAATTTTGATAAATATAATTATCTACTATATATATTATATTTACAATTATTTTAATCATTCGTACAATTTGTTTTTAATTTCCAATATTAATAAATCAGCTAAGATTCCTGGGTATTATATCTTCATAAAATGGCATCAACATCAATTTCCAATTTCCGATAATTGTAATAAAAGTTTCTTTCTGGAAATATATTTCTAGAAAAATAAAAAAATTGTATAATATTTCAATGATTAATATTTTAGTATTTTATATTTAGTATTTTAATATTTGGTTATTATTGTTTTAGATAGTATTTTCGTTAGTTTTAAAATATTAAAACCATGATATTTATACCATGATTATTTATCACAAACAATAAGTCTGTAAACAAACGATAAGTTATAGGTTAGGTTTGTACATTTATACTTGTAATTATTAAATGAGTAAATTAAACTTACTCTTATAGAAAATTACTAAAAAAAAAACAAAACAATTAAATATAAATATCACAATAAAGACTATAAGTATTCCAAACTTAAACTAACCACAGCCGTTATTTATACATACTAAAGATAAACATGGCTGCGCGTTGCATCGGAAGCTGTCCCCCAAATTTTCAGCCAATAGCAACCCTAGCAATATGTATGGCGCGTCCTTCTTAAAGGGTCTCTACGTCATATTTTGTATACTTAAATTTGTATTTGTCACACCCACACCGCAATGTTACAAACTTAGTGTCATTAAAGTAAGAGATCGTTATTTTGAAAAAAGATATCAAATATATTTATATTTGATGTCTCCTGCAACGTTGTGTTTTTAAATTGTTGTCAATCGTTGTCCGAATATAATTGTAGATCAAATTTCCAATAACCTAAAAACTCGGATACAATGGCAGCAATACATCGAGAGGCCATCCAAAAACAAATACAACAGGATTGGGCAAATCGTGAATATATAGAGGTCATCACGGGGAATATTAAAAAAATTACTGATTTTCTTAATTCTTTCGGTAAGTTAAAAAATGTGTTTATAAAAGTTCTTAGATTTCATTGGTCAAATAATTGATATGGAAAAAAATTGTGTAAACACATTTAAATTAAATTCATAGAAGTGATCAAGTATTATTTAAGAATCTAATTATAATTTAAAATATAATCTTCATTTTATTTACTTTCAGACATGTCTTGTAGATCACGGATAGCTGTTCTTAATGAGAAGCTTACAACATTAGAACGTAGGATAGAATATCTAGAAGCTTGTGTAAGCTTACATTTATGTCATTTGCCATTTAACGTCTATGTGAGTTGAACATATGATTAAATTTATCTAATTGATTACTTTTTTTGCAATAGGTAACAAAAGGAGAAACGTTAACATAAATTGAACTGACAACTCATTATTGATATTTTATTATGTTCTCTTACTGTATACAAGTTTGGAGAAACGCTTGGAGAAATTACATTTTACTACTTCAAATATATTATTTAAAACTAACCTTATAGGCTAGTAAAATGATATTATTGTATAACTAAACAACTCAGTAAAGTTTCATTTTACATAAAAAGAATAATCTGGTTTTGTATATCTTACATCAGGCGATTTGTCAAAATTGAAAGCCATAGATGTATGTACATACTTCAACTTTTCTGGTTTATAACCTTGTAAAAGCTGATATTTATAAAGAGCTGCTCCCAAAGCTGCATATCCAGTTATCAGACCTACAGTACCGCCTTTGGGAATAAGAGAATAAACGACACCGCCAGCAGCAAGTGCTAAAAGAAATGATGCCGATCAATTAAAGTATCAATTATGATTTACACACAATAATCTTTTAATTAATATATATTACTTACTGCCATAAAAGTAATTCCATGGATCATCTTTTTTTCTGATATTAGTTAAAGCCAATACAGCAAGAGTAAATGCTGACGTTGCACCTATCCAAACTAGAAAATGTTTTCCACCCCGAATAAAACCTTCTATTCTATTAGGTGTTGGTCGTGCAACGCAAAGATCATATGAAGCTGATACAACAGCACCTATGTAACCATATTTCCCAAGTGCCAATAACTTCTGAAAAGGCTCCTTTCCTTCTGTAGTATGATCATATTTAAATTGTCTTAGAAATTCTCCAAACATGCTAGCACTATAAAATAAATATATAAATTGAATAAAATAATTTATAACAAGAGAAATGTTTAAAAAATATCATAAGGACATGTAAAATATCTTAATGTTTTTCTTATTTAAACACTACATGATCATTTTTCTCTCATTTATACAACATAACCAAAGAACTATAGAATAATCTACATTTTAAAAAATAATATGCACACAAAGTATGTATATATGTACCTTTTTAATTAAACTATGCGTTTATTAAATACATAAGTAAAAAGAACTCGTATCTGCCAATTTTTACGTATTTTCCCAATATAATAACACGAACCACACAATCCACTATAGTAAAGGCCCAAATTTGTCGTATTATATAACAACTACCAATCGAATACTCTCTTTAAAAAGTATGCACCAATGAAAATCAATCGTTCAATAAAACGAAAAGCTCCTTTACGCATGTCAAGTCAAATTGTTTTTACCTGGGTTAAAGAAAAGAACAATAATTTGACCAGTCTTTGACCTGTTATGAAAGCATTCTTACTAGTTAATTAAAAGTTTATAACCATCTATTTATTTTCGTATTTTAGAAGATACTATTTATAAAATGTTACATCTAATGATTATGAGGACTTTACCAAAGGTAATTATCATTAAGGATTTTTCACTTATCATGTAATTAAATCTTATTAAAATAAGATAGCATAATAATATTTTTTAATCTTAATTCCTTGTGCTACCATTTTTTACTTACTTATTATATTTTATGTTAATAATCTGAAAACGTAACAAAATATTTACATTGATATGGTCACATAATTTAAATGTTATTATTACATTGTATATAAATAAAAAGAAAAGATTTATTTATTATTTTAATAACAATTTTAATAACTCATCTTCTTTAACAATATCTTACATTGTTGTAAAGACAAATTTGATTTCAGAACATCACATTAATCCATCTTAGGGCACTAAACACATGTCAGTCTTTATTGAATCAAAAGCAAACGAACATAAATGCCAATGTACCAGGCCTTAGCGAAAAGTGCTACAAACTTCCTTCGACACGTAAGAGAACTTAAAACATTCTTCAACTTTAGACGAATAATTATATTCAATATTTTATAAAAGAGCTTGCGATGAAAGACTATTTGTTTTGTTTTAGCCGTGGGACCAAACGCATCCAAAGATAAAGAGTATAAAAATCCAGAGTACTTTTGTTATCATCTAGATTCATTCGCAGAGGCCGAAGTGGAATTAGCAAAGTTTAGATTACCAGCACCTTCTAACAAAGTTCCTTTCAAACAATGAACAATAATTATTTAAATCTATCAAACAAATTTTATTGTCAACAATCAGGAATAATAAAGAAAACAATAAGCTCATAGTTTCATTATAGAAAACAGTGTGATAGAATAAGAAATATTTAATAAAAAAGAAAAAAGATATGCTTAAAAGATTTACTTTTAATGATGGTAAAAGAAAGATCTTTTAATTGACATTTCATTAAATTATGTAAATCCATTGTCAAGATGCTATATTAAAACATACATTATCAATGTCATAAATCTGCGACACACATATCCGTTAAGAGCCCAATATCATACATGTGTTATAATAATCAAAGTAAAAATTTATTCTGGGATGTGATTGAAATTTTCTCTTCTACATGACAAGGTAAGCGAACGTATAAATTTCATTTTGAAAATTGAAATATGTGAAATAATTAAATAAATAAATTCTTCTAAATTAGAAATAAGATACGAATTATGGTTATTGTTTGTATTAACGTAGTATGAAATGTTATTTAAAAGGCAGTTGATATAATTCATGTGTGCGCTCATTTGCTTATTGGAATAAAATGAAAGCTTAGTTTAACGATATAAGAGAAAGAATCTATCAGGCGCTACTGTAGGAAACCGTGAATTTTGAACTGCGCACGATACTACAATCTCTTTGGAGAGGGAGAGGAATAAAAAAGATAGAGAGAGAGAAAGGGAAATAAAGAAAGCGAGAGAGTTAACACAATCCAAATAGTTAGTAGAGGAGTTACCTCGTCATTTGTTGTTTATCATTTTTCTTTTAGCCGTTTCAAATAAAAACGTTATTTCTTTCAATTAATCGTAGATAATTTAATACGTTATAACAAAGATATTTAATATCAGTTTCTATTTCAAGTGTTTTATTTCAACCTAAAGGAGGTTAAAAAGAAGATAAATAAGCATCCCACACATAACACGTATATATATATATGTACATATATATATCACTCTTATTGTGTGGGTGAAAGTATCGTCAATTGCAACATGTCTGTCATTAGAAGAAGACTTTTCGGCTTCTGCGCCAATGGATTCTATTGCAAACACACGAAATTCCCGGCTCTTCAGAAGGTCCGATTATTTAGGTGAGTTTGCGCGATGCATTTTGTGCGATTGCGCAGATCTTCTTCTTTTTGTATTATTCTTTCTTACTATTCACAGATCTTACAAGATCCTTTTTCTTTTTATCTTTTTCCATGATCTTTTTTAGGTCTATTTTAACTCAACCGGTTTATTTATGTACCTTGTTATTCACTTTGGTCATTATCTTTATATCTGTAATATGTAAATACATTCAGCAAAATTATTTCACTTATTGCATCAGTGTATCATTGAGTGCATAATTATTTTCTGAAAAAAACAGAATAAAAATAGAAATGAAAGAAAAAACACCTTCACGCTAACTAATTAAATCAAAATAAACATACGTTTTATTAGTCAATAAAAACATTATCGATCTATTAATCTTATCTAGCAATAAAATAACAATTTAAAAATATCTTTGTTATTATTCTTTTAACTACTCTTGCCGTTAAGAAATTATTTATATTTATTTCAAATCGTATTACATTTGAATTTTTAAACTTTAAACATCCTTTGTCCAACCTTCGATACAATTTACAAATTATTGTTGATTTATTTAAATTTATTCATTTATGATATTATATAATTGACGTTTAAATGATATGTTCTATTTTTGATTTCATTATCATCATTTTATCTAGCTACAAAATTTAAATTTTATTAAGTGACTTTATCGACGATGTTAGAGCATTCACAGTTTTTTTCCATTCTTATTTATAGTCTCGTTTTAATGATTATATCAATAAAATCCTCCTTCGTTAAATTAGGATCACAATGTATTATTGTTTGCGTTCCACGATGTGTTATCGCCTTTACAATTATTGTCCAAGAATTACTTATATTTGTTTTATCTTCTTTGTTCTAATTTGTATAATACATTAGAACAAATTAACATTAATTGACGAGATAGGGTTTAGCGAACTACAAATGAAATTTATTTAATAATTTCTATATTTATAAATTCAATTTGACTTTACCTCGTCATCTAAATTTATATTTTCGTTATTATTTTTTGTATCTATATCATTTTCAAATAACGACATATTTTAATAATAAACATATGTTATATTAAAATAGAACTTTTATATATGATATATTACAATTATCTAACATGTTTTTCAAATAAATATGATAATTATAATGGTCGCGAAGGAAACGTTTTTTTGTTACGATATTCATATTTTCGTTATCTATAAGAATAATAGAATAAGCTAAAAAAAGAATAAAAAAGAACAGAAACGTGTTTCGCTTATGTAACTTTAAACATTTTTTATTTTAAATATGATCTCTACTATGACCTGTTATATTGTCATTATATATACGTATCTACACATTGGTATAAATTTAAGATGCTCGACCGATTCTTTTCATATTTGTATTTAGAGGTATAGAAAAAAGTTTACTACCGAATTCTTTTTACTTACTAGTTAAAAACAAATTATCTCTTTATAATTTGATTATTAATAAAGAAAAAGCTCATACATAGCTTAATAATTAAACTTATGTTTAGAACTACGAATCTGGAGACACGAAAGATGGCATATACCATGACACAAACAACCTGGATGGCAACCAAAGATGAAAGTCGTGAAATGATGGCAGTATGGCCTGACGTTGTTCGAGATCTTACAAATAATGGTCAAAACTCAGATTTATCTGAAGTCACCAAGTGGCTGGTTAAAGTAATATTCAAATTTGTTATAATAATGAACGTTTCTTGTTGTTTATATAAAATTTAAAAATACCACACAATATATATGGAATTGTTTTTTCAGGTATTACAGTATAATGTTCCTGAAGGAAAAAAAAATCGAGCATTAGCATTGGTTTATGCTTATCGAATGCTTGCAACTCCAGAACAATTAACAGACGACAATATCCGATTAGCGCGTATACTAGGCTGGTGTATAGAAGTGGTTTGTAATTTTTTTTTTATTTATTGTGAACATTATGAAATATATAATTATTGTAATATGAAACATTTAATATTTTAACATTGATAAAAAATATATATGTATATAGATTTATATATATGTATGTATGTATGTATATATGTGCAGCTTCAAGCATTTTTCTTGGTAATAGACGATATTCAAGACAAATCTCTAGTGCGAAGAAACCAGCCTTGTTGGTATCTTAATAATGGTATTGGTTTAGCAGCCATTAATGATGGACTAATGTTGGAAAATGCTGTATATCAGCTACTTGAAATGCATTTTAAAGGAAAAGATTGTTATATTGATTTAATGGAAATTTTTAGAAAGGTATGTACTTTTTTTATTCCATTATTTCTTTTAACGAATGAAACCATTTGATAAGCATTTATATCATTATACATAGGTTACTATGAAAACATTAATGGGACAAAATTTAGATATGTTATCAACTAATTATGGTAAAAAGCCAAATTTAAATCTATTTACAATGGATCGATATAATTCTATCGTTAAATACAAAACAGCCTATTATTCCTTTGTACTGCCGATTAAGGCCGCCATGTATTTTGTAAGTAAACTATAGAGTTAGATAAAAAGTTGCATATGCTTGCTTACTGTAATATCTTTATTTTGTTTAATAAAATATAATTTTATTAACATATAGGTGGGTATTAAAGACCCAGAAATGCATAGGCAAGCACAAACAATCTTATTAGAAATGGGCCACTTTTTCCAAGTACAAGATGATTTTCTAGATTGTTATGGTGATCCAGAAGTCATTGGTAAAAGTAATTGTGTAGATATACAAGAAGGAAAGTGCTCATGGTTAATAGTCGTCGCATTACAACGTGCGACTCCTGAACAAAGAAAAATATTAGAAGTGAGCTTGATATATTCATTTAACAATTTAATATAAATTTTAGATATTCTATGTTTTGTCACAATAAATGCTTTTGGCGTTTTTTAGGAATGCTACGGCTCTAATGATCCGGAAAAAATTAGACAAGTAAAACGTCTATATAATGATATAGGTCTGCCAAACACCTACTCTATATATGAAGAGGAAACATATAATTTACTTAATACACACATACAACAAATATCACGTGGCTTGCCACACGATCTTTTCCTTAAATTTTTAGAAAAGCTTTATCGTAGAGTATCATAAATATTAAAAAAATATATATATATATATATATTTATTTTTATAGCCATTCAACAGACTGATGTGTAAAAATTTTGTGAATTACAGTTACAATAAGATAGCTACATTCAAAGGTTTTTAACTACCTTTTCATTTAAAGTATTGGTACATTCCTTTCAAATATTATTTTAGTTGAAATTTATATATATTAAATAATCATATATATATAGATTTGTTGAAGATTATTAATAATGAACTAATATTTTCTATACTTTTATAAATCGTGGTTTGATACAGAAATAGATAATAATATTGCGTAATGTATGATTGTTTTAAAAATATATATGTAAAAAAAATAAAAAATATTCTGAACGTGGTATACGAATATTTTTTGTACGATAATTATCTATTTATATAGTTAAAATAATTTGTCTGTGCATGAGCTAAAATTACTAATAAGATTATAATACTCCTTTCTTTATATATATTTACAGTTTACGATAGTTTTTTAATTTTTTTTCTACCTCCCCATTTTTCAGTTTTTCTCACATTCTTACGAACTTTGGCGCGTACAATTTGTTTTAATTCACGTCTCAAATTTTTAAATTCCTTTTTTGGCACTGATTCCTTCTTAAAAAAATTTAAGGCATCTGAAACATATATATATATTGTATTATTTTATATAAACGAGTAATTAACAAATTTAATGTATTCTACTTGTATACCATTGAAGCGTTTATCATTTGTCAAGAAGAACAAATTATCGCTATCTTTTCCAAATAAATTAATTGGTACTTTTTTTTCTTTATAATCTGTAGTATTCGTTTTCGAATCAGCTTCATTTTCATCATCCGAAGAATCGTATTTAAATGGATTCGTGGAATCGAAATTTAAAAATGATTTTTTGTTTTTGGATATTTTTTTAGCTTTGCCATCATTTCTTTTATTATCTGAAAAAAAAAGAAAATGAATTTATGTTTAAATAAAATCATTTAATTAGTTACAAAATGATATGCAAATTAACATAGTATACCAGTCTCGTCAATATTCTTTCCATATGTCTTCAATAAACTAAACTCTCCTGGTTGATTTAAACTCTTGCTTAAGGAGTTCGATACCGAATAATATATATCCTTTGATACTACAACTGGTTCATCTTTGTTAGTATCTTCTGCAATTTCTTCTTTTTTCTTTTTCTTTTTAGTCTTTACGCTAGATGTAATTTCTTCCTTGGTAAGTTCATATTTTTTGTGTTGATCTTCTGTTGGGTCATATCGTATCATTCCAAATTTCCTACGAAGACATATTAAAGATACTTATTTATAAATCAAATTTTGATATCTTATAATATTTTTATTTTTTACTTCACTGGTTCTTCATTTTTAGCCTTTTTCGTAATTGGTGCACCCAAAACATCTTCCAATATATTAAACTGCCATTCTTTTTCATTTTCTATATCATTTTTATTGACTCTTTCTTCATCTTCATTGCCTTCTGCATCTTCTTCGATAAAACGATTGTCCAAAGTAAAACGAGGATCATTACCAAAACTTGCTTGTAATTTTAAGTACTAAAAAAATATATACATTTTGTAAATAATATTTTACTGAAGTTACAACAAATTTTCACATAGAATATACCGTACCTTTGGGTCTAAATTTTTCTTTCTTTTGAATTTATCATCGTTCCAGTCGACTTCTTTGTCATCGTCATCGTCTTCATTATCAAATAAAGTTTTACGTTTTCTATTTTCTTTTCTTTTTTCAATTGTAACATCTTCTTCAATGTTTTCATCGAACACGATCTTATTTGATTTATTTTTATCCTATAAAAGTCAATTAGTTTAGTGTTTCTAAAGATATATTAATTATTAGCGTATAGTGATCATTATTATTATTTTTTTTTTACTTGACTAATCCGTGAAATAAAAATGACATTAATTATTACTAATAATAAATCTAACCTACCACATTTTTTAAAGCATCACTAATAAGCTTTTCTTTAGCTTTGAATGTTTCCTTTTTCTTTTTTAATGATAGTAAACGTCTTTTTTCTGCTTCTTCGTGCACAGTCATTTTTAATAATTAATAAAACTTTCTTATTTTCTATTAATTTTTAAACTATATTTATTTATTGTATTTCTAATAACTTTTTTTAAGCGTATAGGTTATGCAGTGATCCCAGAGACTTTAGTTCGTTTGATCGACACAGGGGCGTAAATTGTCGTACGCGGCAAGAAAATTATCGTACGCCCCGGGAAAATTTGAAATCCGACAAAAATCCAACAATGTCGGACAAAATTTTCAAAAACTTGGAAAAAGTGTCCAAGTTCCAACTTTTTCAAGTTGATGACCTTTTTTTTTTTTAGTCACCAAGTTCAAAACCTTACCATGAAAACGATAAAAACGACGGTCCACAGGGAGATGGAACACCGAATCGTATACGGATCGTACGTGGTGGTGGTGGTGGTAGTAGTGGGGGTGCGCCTTTCCACAATTTGTTGACTAAAAAAAAAAAAAGGTCATCAAGTTTTCGAAATTCCAAATGGATCGTANAGTTCAAAACCCTATCATGAAAACGATAAAAACGGCGGCCCACAGGGAGATGGAACACCGGATCGTTTACGGATCGTATACGGATCGTACGTGGTGGTGGTGGTAGGGGTGGTAGTGGTGGTGGGGGTGCACCTTTCCAAAATTTGTTGACTAAAAAAAAAAAAAGGTCATCAAGTTTTCGAAATTCCAAATGGATCGTACGCCACGAATTTTGGATCGTACAGGGCCTCAAATTATCGTACGAATGGGATCGCTGACTGGTTATGTTAAACATATTTAAACACTACTGCGCCATCTATGAAATAAAGGAAGAAGCAATTTCAAATTTACAAAAAGGAAAACGAAAAAAGAATAAAAAAGAAGACAAAATAAACAGAAAATTTTTATCATATATTGGGAGAGAAAGGAAAGAACATGTTTTTTTATTTCTTATCGATATTTTTAAATAAATCAATATTTAATCATTAGGTAAATTAATAAATTTAATTAATAAACGTTTCAAAAATTAAACAATCAACTACTTTCCATTTTTGTATCAATTTATTGCTTCAATATTTCATTTAAATAATGTCAATCATTTTCTAAATGATAAATTACGATAAGTTTTATTGAATAATATACATAGCAAAGAAGCAGTCAGTCGAGTTAATATTATTTTGGATTAATTATATGGACATCGTTTGTTTTGACACATTATTATTTATGATGTCATGTATAATTTATGGATAATTTATTCGTTTTAATAATTATTTCTACTGTGCACATAATATAGAATAAACATTCATTGTATCAAGTATTTGATTCGTGCAATGAAATGTTGTCAGATTCTTTTGTATCGTCATTTGTTTTATCAACTATTTCATTTGAATTTTTATAGTCTTCCATTTCTAGATTTTCTACTTCGCCATTTTTCATTAGTTCACTCTTCTCGTCCACAACATTATGTTCGTCTTTATAAAATAACAGAAAATATTATTCGTAAAAATGATTAAAAAGAAATGAATCAACTTATTTACATACGTACCGACAATCTTTTTGATTCCATCTATAGAAAAATGTATGCTTTCATGATTATTGATAAAAAGAAAATATTTATCATCGGCTAGTATTGAAATACTTTGAATAACTTCTGGTTTAACATTTAATAACCATAATCTTCGCCTTTCGCTATTTAATTGTTTAGATAATCTTTCCATACTCTATCAAAATCTAGAATTACTATAAGGATCATATAAACGAAATAATGAAGTATAATTAAATACCTTTATAGCAGTGTAATCAAAACCTTGAAATCTTTCACAGTCTATGATCAATGGTATTTTCTTTTTCTCATATTCTGTAGCTATCATCTCTAATTTTGTTGAAAGAAAATCAACTGCAGGATAATAAAATCCTGTGTCAGGTTTAAGCATCAAGTATTCATTTCCCAACTCTGTCTAAGGTATATATAAAATTGTTATTAATTTAAGAATATTTTTTTTTCAATAAATCGAAATTTATGTTTACCTTGCATTCGATGGTGCTTAGATTAGGTCTAGCCGATGGATGAAGTAAAAAGACAATATTAAGTGCAGCACCAAAGAGAAGTCCTATTTCAATATTACAAAGTATGCAAACCACAAAGGTCACTATAGCTGCTATTGCATCTTTTTCTGCAAGATTTCATATACATAAACATTAGATTCTAATAATACGTATGTGAAATACGTTTTTCAATTTCAGGGAATAAGTAACAGCACAATAAACTTAATAATAGATGAAGCGTTATAAAGATTAGGAATTGCTCACTGGATCCTTTCCAAAGAACTTTGAAAATCCGTAAATCGATCATAAATAAAACTGCGCTTACTAATACTGATGCAAGTGTCGCACGTGGTATATAATAAAAGTAAGGCGTTAGAAAACTAAGTGCTAACAATGTTAAGGTTCCTGAAATAATAAAATAGTGTGTACGAAAGATTAAATAAAATAAGAAAATAACGATTAAAAAGATTATACCATAATCATATATTTTACCTGTATACAATCCCGCCATAGGCGTTTGTACACCGCTCGTAGAACTTACTGCGCTTCTTGTAAATGCTCCACAAGTTGGCATTGACGAGAAAAAACTCCCAAATATGTTACAAATACCTAGAGTTAACATTTCTTGTTTTGCATTTAACGAGTTACCGCTTGCTAAAATAGAATAAGTTAATTACTTTTTCGAAGACAACGAAAAACAAACAGAAAAATTAATTGTTTCTATCTACCAAAGGCTTTTGCAATCGCCACGTTAGTCAAGACCGCGATAATTGGTACCATAAGTATGCCAGATCCATAATGCGAGCACATATCAATAAATGTGTATGTACGATTTCCGATTTGCGATGAAAAGGGCGGTAAAGACACAGCAGGTAATCCAGGTTTAACTGTTCCTATAGAATGCATTCGCAAAACAAACAAGCAAACAAACAGACAAAGAAAAAGTTAATAAATAAAAGTATTTTATTTCCAAGAAAATTCTAATAAAATCATGCCAACCTGAAAGAGTAAATGGAGAAGTTTCCGGCGTAGTTAAATTAAATGATATAATAGATGTTATCAAGACGATAAGAGCATTACGTCCAATGGAAAAAAACCACAACATTTTTTTTATCCTTCTTATTTTCTTGCTACCACTTTCGTTCCGAAAGTTTTGAAGATTCTACGAACATGCATATCAAATTTAATATTCAAAAATTAATTCAGTTAAATTATTTAATTTAATTAAATTAACACACAAAAATAAAATATCTTTGTGTGAGATAACTTACCTTAAAGAGTAAAAGAAATACTATGCAGGAAAAACTTAGTGCTATATCAGGTAGATGTACATTTTCTATATTATAATATGTTTGTTTTAAGGTATCGACTATAGTATGCGATTTATATCTTAAACCTAAAAGACCTTGAATTTGAGCTACGATTATAATTATTGCCGCTGCCGAAGTGAATGCCGATGTAACGGGGATGGAAATAAAGTCCACCAAAAAACCTGCACACATTTACATTATCTATCAATTAAAATAGAAGATCTTCCGATGTTTGATATTTGAAGATTTTTGGAAACATTAAGAAATCATATACACTAGAGATACCAGCCTAAATTTAATAAGCCCATCGCTAGTTCTATACATCCAGCCAAGAATGTAAGAAGTATGACAAAATCTACTGGCATATCATGCGTGTATTCCATCACTAAAAGAGACATCAAGGACGTAGGTCCAATAGAAACTTCTTTGGTTGTTCCAAGTAGGAGGTATATAAAACCACCAAAAAACGCGGAGTAAAGGCCATACTGTAAATTTACACGATAATTGATTTCACTTTTTCTTTATTTTTTTTCGCACCAAACCAAAAATTGGAAAACAGTAATACCTGAGCAGTTAATCCAGCTAGTGCAGCATAAGCAATACTTTGTGGTATCATGGTGAGTCCTATTGTAATACCGGCTATTACATCGGATATAGCTTGAAATTGGGTGTACTTTGGAAGCCATTGTAATATCAACAAATATTTGCTCAAGTTACCACTAAAGTTCTTCTTTTTTTTCTTCTTTTTAGCATCTTCTACGAGAATTGAATCCTTTCTAGGCACTGACATTGCTGTTTGGGTATATCGAGGATATACGAACTGAAAGAGATATCGCGACGAGTGTTAACGCATTTCAAAATTTGATACGATTCGGTTCTTTCAACTCCTTCTTGAATGATCAATCTTTCCGTTGAAGGAGTAACGTGCAACGAAAGAGTGCTTATCTGGCCAGCGCAGAAATACGAATAGCTCCATATTTCACTTTATAAGTAGGTATCATTCATGTCTTTCCAAATCCTTATCATCAAACCTATTCGTAAAGCTGTAGGTAAACGTCATCTTCTTCATTGCTGATAGAACATATTATTATGTTTATTAATGAGCATCAATGTTTTTTCTTTCTTTGTATCTTTCTTTTGCTGGTAGCTCTCTTGAATATTGACACAGTGATAAAAATATTAAAAATAAGGAAAACCTTGAGCAAGGATTAATAAATGAAGTCGTTAGCGTGCGTAATTCTATTCAATTATTCTTCTCTTTTTCTTAAACCGATAATTATCGCGATATAGAACAATTTTCTTTATCTATTCGAGTATTTGTTATTCTTAAAACATAAATTAAAATAGATATGGAACTTTGAGAGATATACTATTATTTTTTTTTTTGAATTAATTTCATGTCTTTCTTATATCCGTCATTAATTTTTTTCATTGAATATTTAATTATAATTATTTTATTCTCAAACATTTTTATCGTTATTATTAAAATAAATAATCAATAGAATAAAGAGAGCAAATGTGTTCATTTAAAATTTCTCTGTTTCCGAAATATCATTTATATATATTTACTTAGAATGGTCTTATCGAATGAAATATACTTGGTGCACATTCTTAACTTTGTACACGATCATATCTAATTTTAATTTTGTCAATGTTAAAGATTATATTACATACAATCGATCAAGTGTCATTCTGTCTTTTTTATTTGTATTGCCTAGAAATTTTATATATACTTCTATTTTATACATATATATGAAGAATTTATGTATCGTATAACGATTATTTGGTAAAATGATAAGAAATTGAAAATAAATTGAAAAGGCCTTCTTTATGTCATTCGAGAAAGAATTAACTAGTGCGAGTAAAAATGTATATATATATATATATATGTATATATACAACAAAAAAAGATAAGATGCTAGAAGCTTATAAAAAGATTATGTGTGCCAATGATTGTAACTCACTTATAAACACGTATAAATGTTCTGTCGCCTAAAGTTGCTTTATAATACCATAATTTTCAACTTGGCTTTCACACAATTCCAAAATAAAAATAAATTATAAAACAAAAAATTAAACATAGACAAACGTAAATAGTTTGATAAAGCATTAATTTTCATATAAAAAATAATCGCAATATTAGCCGTAGCAATATATTAGTAATAATTTAATAATAATTTATAATAATAATAATAATAATAATAATAATAATAATAATAATAATAATAATAATAATAATAGAGGTAACAATTTATAATTTTTGATGCACAGAGAGACTTATCGATCGATGTTAAATAAAAGATTTTTCAAATTAACACGATCGATNATAATAATAATAATAATAATAATAATAATAATAATAATAATAATAATAATAATAATAATAATAATAATAATAATAATAATAATAATAATAGTAATAATAAGTATTATTATAAAAGCACGTAGATGCTTAAAATAAAATCTCTATTGTAAAAATTCATCTTATTTAGCTGTCAGTCAACAACACTCATTTTATACATCATCCTATTTGGAATAAAAAAATTTGGATCGCGAAGAAATGGCAAGTTGTACCTCAACGTAGCTTCTTATTGACTTGATCGATCAGTTCGTCGATTCTCTGGGAAGTTCCACGAAATTTGTTTGGCTCTGGTCCGATCATCTGTATCAATTGGGGCACATCCTGTCCACTGATTTGTGTAAAACGCGCCAACGACTTCATGCACGCGTAAAGTTGTTCTTCTGCTGGACTTCCGTTGAAATATTGCAGCAAAGCCATCGTTAATTCAACGGCGACATCATCAAACACCTACGATCATTATCGTCGTAAGAAAATGGCATATCGTTTAATTGGAGCGATTAGATAGTAAACGTTTTAAATTAAGTCGTATAATTTTTGTGGATACCTTGTCATTTAAAAAAATTTTTTTTTTCTGTAATCACTAATGATTCATTGCAACGAATTCGAGATATACTACGTATACGTACGTATCTTATGTACGTATTTTATTAAATAGGTACCTTAGAAATGCTGCCTTTTGGTAAAAGTCGCCGCAGATTTTTGCTTTTGTTCATTTTCTGAAAAAATAGTAGCCGATCTCTGGGAAGGTATCCATCAACTCAACTTATTTTCGCAGCATCGCATTAATTACGGATAATTACGTTACGGCTAGCTAGTCGAGAGGTGTTATCTCGTATTACGAAGCACAATACATAAGATATACGATATGAGGATTTTGTCAAGATGAAAATTAAGGGAAGAGAAGTTAAATTTTAATTATATTTCGATATCCTAGACCAAAAGGAATTATGATATACTCGTATGTACATTTTGTACATGCCATTAAACGAAGACAATCGTTGTTGATTGAAGAACACCAAACACGTCGCGTGTAAATATTTTTTTTTTTTTTCGATGAACGAAGAAGCGTTTATTTAGCGATTAGCATTAAATCAACGAAAGAAGCATGTGTATTTAGCTTTGGCGTCGATAAGTCTATCAACTGTCGTGAATTAGTATTATTCTTAGCGGTATTTTTTTTGTCGGTAATTAATAGATCGTTAATCATCGTATGATCGATCGATGATTAAAATGATAAAGATTATTATGGTTAAATGGATGATCATAAAGATGCTTATTATATATATATTTATAATATCTTTTCAAATATATAGGGAAGAAAATTAAAAAAGAACACAAAGTATCGTCTTTTTGAACGATGGTTAATCGAACAGGAAGGATACAGACCACAGTTTTTACCTCCTTGCAGGCTAAGTTGTGGATAATAGCAGCACCACGGGTTTGCAACTCGAATGAATTGGATAGCAAGGAGTGGACAGCAACCTTCGTCGTCACTCTTATGTTGCTGATACTTTGATTGTGATGTTGCCATTCAGATATGTAAAGTAACCATTCTGAACTGCTCAGATTTTCAAACATGTTAGCCAACTGGAACAGAAATTTGTCTCTTATTATATTAGGTAGTATTTTCATTATATATCATTATATATTATATTATTATTATATTCTATTAATGATTATAATTATGAAAATAACAATACTTACAAATTCAGCAAGCGGTAATTGTTCTTCCGGAGGATGACGATCTATATCGAAGGCATAATTCATAAGAATATGTTCCTTTCTATCTTGATGCAAAAGAAGAATCACATCGTCTTTCAAAGCGGCAACGGAAAGAACGTTGAGAAGTTTCACCCTTGCTTCGGTTGTTAAAGATTTGTCGTAAAGTATGCGTCCTATACATTTAATGAACGATGAAAAAGAATATTTTCATTAAATTTATCCTTAACGATTTGATTGATCATTTGGTATAAGAGCTTACCGACAAAATTTAAAAAATAATCTCCCAAAGCCCAAGAACCTTCGTTCTCTAAAACGTATTGTCGAAGCTCGGTCAAACATGTTCTTTCCTCGTCGTTTAATTTTCCTTCTAGACAGTTGACCAACGTCTCATATTCCGCTTTTACATCGACGGTATCTTTAAATACTATAGGAGGATCACGTTGCCTTTTCTTCTCTTCCTGTTCCCGTTTCTCTTCCTCCTCCATTTGCATTACCCTATCGGACGGTAACATTTCCATCGTTGCACCATTCGCCGCTTGCATCTCGCTAACTGCACCTACAATAATTATTATTTTCTTTTCAATTATGCCAACACGATTCCAAATAACTTTTTAGGAGATTGCAAAAAAACAAAAAAAGAAACCCTCACCCTCGCTTTCCGCCATATCCGCGCAATTACTGGGCCCTGTGCTATTATTGTCACTTCCTGTGCTATCTTTGCTACTCTTTTCCTTCTTTTCCTTCTTCTTCTTTTTCTTCTTCCTATCCTTCTTAGCTAGCTTCTCGTTTATTACGTTTCTCCTTTCCTCTAACGCGATCGAGTTTAATCTAAAATTTAATATTTGTCGTTAGATTCGATTTAAATTTCTAATAAAATAATAGATAAAGCTTACCTTGCCTCCTCGATTGCTGTATTTAAAAGCTGATATTCTGGAGAAGCTTCCCTGTCGATTCTAGCTTCAACGAATCTTTGACCAACCGTGAAACCTGCGTTTGCGTTGCTACTTAAACTTTCTATCAAAGGTCCTAACGCTTGTCCAACTGGCCTAAATGTGATCAGGGTAATTACTTTTAAACACGAGTAAGAACAAAGTATATTCTATTAAAGTGAACATCCGATGAATGATTATGTATTATTTAAATGTAATCGTATTAATTAAGTAATTAAATGTAATCGTAATATATAAAATTGAAAGTTCGTTTCCGATCCGACTCACGTTTGTAATATCTCTTCTGGAAGATCAAGGATATATTTGGGAATTCCTGTTCCCGCCAGAAAATTACTAACTTCTTCCGTGAAAGTGTTACAGTTGTGCTTGAAAAGATTATACGTGCCCGGTCTGAAAAAGATTTGTCTTATTTTTTTCATTTTCTTTTTCATTTCCTTTTCTCGCGTTGAAATCTTTAACACCGACGCCATTCTCTCGCAAAATATTATTATCGTAGGAAAAAATGTAATCGAGACAACACTCACGCAAATGTGGACGTTCCCAGGCCGTTGATGTATTCAAGGAAAACAGAATAGGGTAGATAAGTCTCACCAATCTTCTCGATTTTTTGCGGTTCGCGCAAATGCGTACCACCCTGTAATTATTATCCGAAAATGTATTTATTTGAATATACGTGAGAAAAGAAAGACAAGACTCCTTCCAGGTCCCGTCAATGTCAATTTCTCAAACTGGCTTCTCGTCTCTCAATGCATGAGCCACGAATTTCTCTCTTTCTCTCTCTCTCTCTCTTTCTCTAGTAATTCTCCTACTCTTTCTCTATCTTCGATACACAAGGAAAAGAGAGAGAGAGAGAGAGAGAGTGCAAACGTAATTTTAGAACGACGACAAATCCACGCTTCCCTACGTGAAATGCTCAAAATAACTATTTGCTAACGCGCGCGTCAGATTCATGAGCGTTAGTGGCATGAAAAGCTAAGGACGGAAAAAGGCGGAAGAAAGTGGTGAAAAATGTGAGGTAAATTATAACACCTGATGTAACATTGTATTTTGTTTTTTTCTTTTTTTTTTGTCTTCCTCTTCATGCACATTAATAAGTTAATACAAAATAAATTATATATGCATAATTATATATACACGTTTGAAAACATTGAGAATTAGAATATAAAATTTTAGAAAAACCATCGTAAACATTAATAGAGAAATTATTATCTTTTTTAATTTATCAGTACAAGGCATGAAAAACTTTTCTAAAATTTACTACACCTTTCGCCAAAAATTTGTAACACCCTCAAATTGAAAATTGTACCACCTTGAGAAAAATTTAACTGGGATCAAATTTACGGGACAACTGTGACTGATCGAATTTCATAAAAGCACGCATATTATTTCAAATTAAATACATACAAAAATAAGAAGGAAATTTGATTTGCCCTCGTTAGCTTTCTTCTTTGATATCCTTCATCGTTATTCTTCAAAATACTCTTATCACTATTATAGTTAATCGAAACAGTACACTATTTAAGAAATACGTTAAACGCGTTAGCAATGAATTCTGCACAACGTGGGAACGAGTTACGTACGGACACAGATGAACGAACTTGGCGATGCTTTAGTCTCCGTAGAGTCAGAACCGTAAAACATAGAACGAGAAAGAGGTATCAGAGTGAGAGTGAAAGTGTATGTAAGAAAAAGAGAGAGACAGAGAGAGAGAGAGAGAGAGAGAGAGAAAACGCGTTCGTGTGTAAAGCAAAGTGAAAATTATTTTTAGATTCAACCAGACCAAATTTAGTACCTGCTCGTCTCTAGCGTATCATATGGCCAGAGTGACGAGTTACTACGATTGGGCCCTACGATGATAGCTATGTTACGTGCCAACGACGAGCCAATGCGTCTCGTTCTTAGGAAAACCCACATACGTAAAATACGAAACAAACCAATTTGAATGAGATGAACGCGTTTGCAAATAAAAATAAATTATTCTCTCATTTAAAATAAACTACGATCTATTGAAATAATAAATTGAACTACAATATCTGCTATGTTTTACAATTTGTATGTAAAATAGTTCAACTTGAAAAGATTTAAAATGAAGTTAGATAGAAGCAAAAAAAAACATTAAGTTTCTATTCGAAAATATTTTGAATAAATAATCGTTCGTTATTGTGCATGAATATGCATAAAGAAGAAGAACATTTATTTGTCGATAGACCATATGTTATTTTTAATTTATTTATTAATGGCATCTTGCCAATCATTTGCAATGCGAAACAAAGGATGCAAGAGATCATTTTATTATTGTTAGTAAGATTTCGTAAAATTTGTTATTATACTTACAGGTCTGACACTTTGTATTCCAGCTGGACCAAAAAAGTATTCTCTACCATAAGCAACTATTCCCGTATGCCATATTCCTTCCAAATGTCTACCTGTAAATATAATATAAGGATTAACAAAAATTCATCACATATAGAATTTATTTATTTATGAATTTTTTGTTTGTTTTTACAAGAGCAATGAATTTGATCGGAGGATTCCCAAAGAAGATCAAAGAAACAAGAAAATTGGCTGTCGGTAGGACGAAAGTGAATATATTTCAAAGTTGGAACACATGATCTACAAGTAGTTCTTTTTTGCTCTCATCTCTAAGGTCCACCGAGTGTGGTTCGCTCGTAAACCGAAATATGCACCAGAGTAATTTCGAAGACGGAACCTCGAGACGAAATCTCAAGCCGAATAGTCGTTCTCCTTCGACCTACTTTCTTAACGCGGAAATAACTATTAGCGTTCACGATATTCTTATTGCAGTACAGTCTTAGCTGGGCTTGAACAGGAAAATTCGTCAGATGTAATATTCTCGTTTTTCTTACCCGTCAACCCTTTTACATCACGGTAAGACATTTTTATTCTCTCTCTTTTTAATAAAACGCCTTTACTTCTACCACGAGGGATCATAAATCACCGCCAATTTGTTTTATAAGCATAACGTATGATAGATTTATCAAAATAACATGTCAGTTTTCGTTTAAATATGTATTATATATACACGTTCATTCGTATTTCTCTTCTTGTGAAAAAAATGTAGAAAATAAAAAGAATTAGGTTTTAGGATTTTAATGATACACGTGATATTAATATAATTAACAATTTGCACGCGTAGATGTTAACGAGAAAGATCATTTGATTATATCAATGATGATCGATCATTTTTTATCATCGATTATCGATCTTATTGAGTTTCTTTTTTTAACTTTTGTAGAATTTTAATCTCGATAAATATATGCACGTGTGAGTATAAAAAACATAAGTACACGAGAATCTATGCCAATTCTGGTTATCCTAAAGAATCTTCGCAAGTAATTACAGCAAATGCTATCTAAAATAGATCCCGCGAGATTTCTTCGTGTAAGCATGGCGAACGAATTTCAGACACGTGACGCCCGAATTTTTCATTTAGAAGGATAGACTGCATGCCGCTTTTCTGAACATTCCACTCTATTACCATCGAACGAACAGTATATATTTTAACTATAGTTTATACAAACGAAGTTTCTCAAAATTATTTGCTATTGTACGATTGAAATCATTTCTACAAAATAAACTTTACGCAATATAATTTAATTTCCAAAAAACAACAATGATAGTAAGACGAATCTTTTTCATTTCTCAGAATTTCGTATTTACTTCTTACTCGAATACGAAAGAATGTAGAACGCAAAAGTTATACATTAATAAAAAAAAAAGTTAATGAAACGTAATTGAATCGAATGACTGAAAATGATTTATGTAAATAATATGAAATTTTAAAAATAAAATACTACGATTCAGTGTTTTTCAATTCTATTGCATATCGGCATTGGATTCAACTAAATTTGGATTCCACGCGTTCTCTGACGTCACAAAGAGAATATTTGTTAACATCGTATTTACATAGCTTTTCGTCCGAGTCTTTTTCGTATCCAATTGGACACGCCTACGCAATGAGAAATCGTCATAGGATCGAAACAAAGATATCATCGTATGACTCATAATTCGTGGCGAGTATCGATTTGAGAGTACATAAATAATACATTGAAAACAAAAAAACAACAAGAAGAAAACTTAATCCTTTGTTAATCAATTAAGCTTACCTATCAGCATATTAGACATCATTGCTGCCATACCCTTCGATAAATCGTATATATACAGCTCGACTGATGTCCTTAGATCATCCTCTGTGTTATCCATTTCGCCGCAGATCTGTGTAAAATAATCGAAATTTACTACTAATTATTAATCTATAATCATTATTATTAACATAGCTTCAATATAATATATTTTATTATTATGATAACGAAAAAGATCGATGAACCAACATCGATTGTGAAAGATGCGAATCACCCTTGGATAACACCTGACTTCCGATTAATTCAAGATGTCCGCTACATTTGCGCGGTGACTTGTTCATTTGAACGTTCGAGAAACATCAATGATAATTAATGAATTATTATCATGAAATTAACCGAAAGATATCATACATATATATATATATATATATATATATATATATATATATGTTTAAGTGAAGTTGGAGAATAAAATTTGAAATGATCAAAAGTTAGGATACTTTTTTATCGATGTTTGGTTTTTGACATCATCTTCTTACCTTTCCGTTCTCGGATCGATCAGCGATCCGTTAACAGGTGGATTTAATTGATCCCTCGGAGCCACCTCGAGGGTGGATAGAAATTGATTCGATCTTACACAAAAAACCTTGCGCGTGTAGAAAATGAAAGGACTAATAAATGGAATAGAAAAATCGTAGAAGTGGCAGAAGTTAGGAAGGAAGGTAAATATGAAAGTTTAAGAAAAATATAAAAAAAAAAAGATAATGTGCGAGAGAAAAAGAAAGTTTTGTTAGATTTCGAACGAATTGGGAACCCTACGATTTCCGGCTCTCGCTAGATGGCTACTGGTCTGTTAGCAAATGCAACTGACCTCGCAACTGAAATCTTCTCGCACGACCGTACAAACGGCGTTACGGCGCGATAGTCGTTCTTGCCAGGAAGAAACGGTAAAGAGGTAAGAGGGTCATCTCGCGCGAAGCTAGCGCGCCTGTCTATTACCTACCTTCCTATCTTTCTACCTAAGTATCTACCTCTGCCGCCACCTCTGCCAATAACTATGTGACCTGGTGCTTTGAAAAAAGAAAAAAAACTATCGAACGTGTCAATGCCACGGTCAACGAATGATCCATTCCTAGTTACCAGTGATCAATCAACCGATCAATCCTTTATCCCTTACAATGATTCTGTAATGATAAACTAATGTTTACTTAGTGTGACATTAGTTTTATCCAATAGTTTGTTACTTTTTCTTTTTTTATTTTATTATAATGTTGTAATAATAAAAAGCTACTGTATTATCTTCAATAATAAAGATTCAATTTCTTGATTATGGTTACATAACAGAAAACTACTCTTTACCTGACATCAATTCAACCTTTACGCTTACGACATTTCATTGATCATGGGAAATGGATCGTATTGTGCATGTAGTTCCTTAATATATGTATACATTTGATTCAAGGATATGATGCGTCAATGTCCGCTTTATTTATAATCAAAGGTCGTACGATCACCTGGTGATTGGCAAGCGACGTTACCGTGGCCTTGACCAGCTTCGAAAAACACGACCATTCAACGAGCATTGCCACTTAATTCGAGTTTAAAGGAGAACGTTGCATCATCCTTTTGTCAGTTTTTTTTCTTCTCTCCGATGGAAAGTAATCGACGTTCGGTTAATGAATCGTGTAATCGTTCATAAAGAGCGGTTTAAAGGATATATAAATGATAGTTAAATATATGTGATCTCTCGTTGTGATAATAAATATATTTATAATGAATAAACGATTCTCAAAATTCGAATATTTCAAATTCAAATACGCATAACTAAATATAGTAAGTAATTATTCAACGATTTAAAATTAAATTCAAAGATAAATATTTCAGAGCTAAAAGATCAATCTTTCATCATTTTAAAATAAAAATCTTCGATGTGTCGAGAGTTGTATACTAGAACAGTGTGAATATGACTTAAGGATCGAAATGTGAGAAAGTGAAAAGCAAGAAAAAGAGGGGAGAAAAAAGTTGCTACAAAAAGGGAGAAAAGGGGCAACGAACGATAAAGTAGAGAGTCGAACGTGATAGGTGCATTATATTTCGTCTTTCATATCAAAGTTAAAGAAAACGAGTAAGAATAAACGATAAAATAAAAAGAAAATAAACACGAAACACATCGATGTACTAGCGCCTATATTCCGCTGACACATCTACCGATCAGTAACGCGGGTTGCATACTCTCGCGGGCTTGTGAATTAATCTGACAAAGAAAAAGATAAAACAAACGAAGGAGCATGGCTGGCAAATTTGCAAAAACGAGAATTGAAAAGATCGATAGATCAAGAAGCTGAAAGTACCTTTTACTATCGACAAAAAGTGTAATAAAAGGAAGAAAAATATTTGGTGTTTTTTATAAGTTCATTAAAAATATGAATATATATGAAGAAAAAAATGTAAATTGTACGTAAATCGTGAATCATATTGTATAGGATTTACCTCTTTTCTATCCGTCATCGTGATGGCTGCTGTGTACGATTAGCGCTGACAGTAGCAGGACGGTAACCGTTTGGTGACGATCGTTGCTCCTTTGGTTCTTTGGACGGGGACGTGCATTGAAACGCGGGCTTTCTTTCTTCTCGACGTAGTGCGTCTCACAGGACTATTATTTTCTTCTTTAAATCAAGGTGAATTTAATAAAGGAAAATTAATCGAGATTAAATGACCTTACAAAAGATAATACCTTTCAAATCTTTAACGTATTACGACTAAACCCTCAAACGAGAGAGCGCCAAGAGGTTAGGGTATCGAACGTTGACTCGACAATTTTTTCGCGTCTCCTTAGGGAATTTTCTTTCTTTGTGTTTGCCCAGGCAAGTAGAACAACGGATTGAACAGCTGATGTTTTACTCAACACCGGCGAAATGTCAAAATCAAAGCAAATCGTAAGTCCATTTTAGATTAATTATTAATATTTCTAGATAATAAATCGATACTTTCAACTCATTTTCTTCTCTCGCCCATTTCTTATGATCTAACGATTATTTACTTTTTCGTATATAGTTAAAAAGTGACTATAAGCACGCGGTATTATTACAGTAGCGTATTAGATATTCCGAAACCTTGTGTCATCTTGAGATCTGAAAGTTTTTTTTTTATTTTTTTTCCTTTTTTCATACTGCCTACTCATTCTTCTTCAAGGATTTAACTGAAATAAATTTACGCGCGCGTTTACTTAGATTTCAAATTATTTTTAAATGCAAATATTCGATTTATGTATAAATTTGATTAGAAAATTTTTAAACAAAATCTTATGCAGAGAAAATTTATTGATATCATTTCTGTTTCATTTTTCTGTAAATAAAACCTTTCTTTCTATTAATGTACATTTTATTTTTTGTAGACACTGCGAGTGCAATCATCAGAAGGAACTAAGCGAGTAGATGCTTGTTTATCAGATTCTGTCTTTACACTTTTTGAAAAAGTTAGTATTACTTATCAAACATCGTTTTAATCTGTAATAATTCTTTCCTACTTAAACAAGTATTCAAACTTTTAATGGTTTGTATTCTTTCAGGTGTTTACTGCTTTTAATTTGAATAGTCTTACCTTTGGATTGTATAAGCAAAGAAATCGTCAAGATGAAATTATAAGTACTCGGAGTAAAACATTGTTAGAAGCAGGTCTTTCCCATGGTGATATGCTCTATCTTGTGCCATTTAATGGTGCACAGCTTTGGAATACACCATCTGCCAGTAATAACTCACATATTTCTTCTGCAGGTTTGAATCCTGTAGTATTTATAAGTATATAGTTTTATATAAAAAAAAATTCTATTCTATAACATTTGAAATATTAAATAGGATTGACCGATGGAGGAAGCAATACAAATCGTATTGTTCAAAATTCAAATGTGAAGGGTGCGCTTCGTAGCCTGCCAAATGTAGTTGAAGATGAAGTAGATGAACAATTGTGGAAGTTGGATGGGAAAATACAAAGAAAACGTGATGAAAAACTGTAAGTTAATAAAACAAATCTTCTATATATCTTTAATAAAACAAAAGATATAATATAATATATATGGGACGAGCGCCTCCATGCCAAACTTATTGGGCATTCGTGAGAAGGATTGGTCGGTGGGCCCTGGATAGCTCAATTGGTTAAAGAGCAGTCGCCCGGAAAGCGAAAGATCCGTGGTTCGAATCCCGGTCCAGTCAGTTCAGCGGTCCAATTTTTTTCACGAATCCCACACATGGGAGCTCGCAGCCGGGATGGAGGGTCTGCTTCGTAACACGTTCCACAGTTTTAATCTTAGTGAGAAAAAAATTAAAGACGAAGTTAAGACGAAGGAAGACGAAAAGTTGAAGTTGGTGGCGAAGGACGCCACAAAAAAGAGGAGATAAAGTTGGGTGGTATAACATTCGGGGTCGAATGTTGTTAAAAGGGAGGTGGAATGTGGGACGAGCGCCTCCATGCCAAACTTATTGGGCATTCGTGAGAAGGATTGGTCGGTGGGCCCTGGATAGCTCAACTGGTTAAAGAGCAGTCGCCCGGAAAGCGAAAGATCCGTGGTTCGAATCCCCCGGTCCAGTCAGTTTCAGCGGTCCAATTTTTTTCACGAATCCCACATATATATTTCATTTTTCTTTTTTTACAGTTGCCGTCATGGTGTAAAGGGATGTTGCGTACACTGCTCTCCTTTGGAACCCTTTGATGAAGTTTATATGAAAGAACAAAATATTAAACATTTATCCTTTCATTCGTTTCTTAGAAAACTCACTGCCGGAGTTGATAGGTAAATTCTGTATTATAAAATATAAGATTATATAAAATTCTATTTGTATGTTATTATTTTCTTTAGGGGCAAATTTTTACAATTAGACGACATATGCTGCCGAGTAAAGACTGGTTGCAAGGATCATCCTCCATGGCCTAGGGGTATTTGTAGCAAGTGTCAACCTAATTCTATTACTTTGAATCGTCAAACTTATCGTCATGTAGACAATGTCATGTTTGAGAATGCTAGTTTAGTTGAACGTTTTTTGAATTATTGGAGAAGTACTGGTCATCAACGTATTGGTTATTTGTATGGAAGATATGAAATACATACAGATGTACCATTAGGGATTAGAGCAGTTGTTGCGGCTATATATGAACCTCCGCAAGTAAGTATAAATATATTAGAAAACAAGATTCTATTCATGTAATAAAAATAATGTAATAATCGATACATATTGATTAATTTTTAGGAAAGTACAAAGGATTCTATACAACTTTTGCCAGATGAAAAAGAGTCATTAGTTAATGAATTAGCTCGATCTCTCAACTTAAAAAAAATAGGATGGATTTTCACGGATCTCATAGCCGAAGATGTGAAGAAAGGAACGGTACATTATACGTAGCCATGGCACATTTTATAACTTAACAAAATCATTAAGTATGATAAAAAGTTATAATATACATAATTTACTATGTGTTTAGGTGAAACATGTCCGAAATATAGAGAGCCATTTCTTAACGGCGCAAGAGTGTATTATGGCAGGGTACTTCCAAAATCAATTTCTTAATCCTTGTCGTTTGTCACCCAGTGGTTATTATGGTTCTAAATTCGTAACTGTTTGTGTCACAGGTAAATTCAAAGAATATCGTATGCTTACCATTATCACATGTTTACAACATCAAAAAGTAATATATTTTATGTTACATATTCAATAATAATTTTATGGGTTCTATTTGCAGGTGATGATAAAAATCAAGTTCACATGGAAGGATATCAAGTGTCAAATCAATGTTCTGCACTGGTACGCGATAACTGTTTGGTGCCAACGAAAGATGCACCGGAACTGGGCTATGTAATCGAATCAACCGATAAGCAATATGTTCCAGATGTCTTCTACAAGGTAAGTGATATTCTTTTTCTTAGTTCCTAACAATTAATTTTATACCCTTAAAGACTTGCTTTCCTCGCACCTGCGTATACGTTGTTGTTGTTCTCCTGGAGGTAGGTAAAGGAATGATGGTGCATTCAGAATTACGCAGAAAAGTTTTCAAAGAAAGAAATAGTTTATAACTCAATTTATCGATTAAAATTACATTTAAGTTAGGTAACAAACGTTTATCTCGTACGTATGTATAATGAAATAATAAAATTGTTTAAGCTAAGAGCTTTCGGAAATACGTTTACCGTAGACTATAAACAAAGTCTGTCGATTTTTTTTTTAATAATGTTTATTGAGTCTTAACATAATAGGAAAATGATGAGAGAGAGGGGTTGAGAGAAAGAAAAAATAAAATTATAAAGAAAGATATTGGGCTAAAGTAAATATATAGAATTAGGAGAAGGAATTCGAAGACTCGTAAGGAAAAACTTAATAAGAGTTATTGCCGCTCAATCGTTTTTAATTCGAACGCGAGGGGCGAATAAATCAATGTTTAAGATCGTTTAAGATCGATATTACAAGCTATGCGTTGTTACCTCATCACGTTCATAAAAATATATGTAGTATATATACGCGCGCGTTGGGATATTTTTATTTCATTTTTTTTTTATTTTGTGTATATAGAGATGAATTTGTAAGCGTTGCTCGTTTCGGTGATATATATATGGTATATGTATATACGAACTTTGTTTACGTATGTTTTTTCTCACTTATGTAGAGAGAGAGAGAGAGAGAGAGAGAGAGAGAGAGAGAGAGAGAGAGAGAGAAATGTGTTTATATTTGTCATGCGACGGTTATACGTTTATGGTGTGTTGGTATAGATGCAATGNAGAGAGAGAGAGAGAGAGAGAGAGAGAGAGAGAGAGAGAGAGAGAGAGAAATGTGTTTATATTATTATTCGGTTTTCGCTTTGTTTTCTTGCACCGAAACGAGAAAAGCTTACACCCGAGAGTACGAATAACCTCCTTATCGTCGTACGTTTTTTTTTTATGTGTGTGTGTGTGTGTGTGTTAATTTTGTATACGTATATATGTACATATGTGTTTGTATGTGTGCGTGCGTGTTTGTTGATCTACTTGTCGCGTAGTTTCTTCTTTTTTGTTGTTTTGTGTATGTTGTTATGTGTAGTTTCTTTTTTTCATGTAATTATTCTAAAACGGTAATTCTTACATTTCGTTCGTCGCCGCGATGATGCGTTTCTATCGCACGCGACGCATTATTCAGCTAATCAACAAGTGTTAAAACTTTCAAGTTCAACATCGAATGAGGCTCTCTTCAAAAAAGGCAACCGCGACGACGAAGGCGTGCATATATGTATATACCTACATACGTGTGAGATTAATGTGCCTTGGCCATTTTTTTGTTTTGAAGTCGCACATTTCATTCTTACACTTTCTTCTTCATATATATATTTTTTTTTCTTTAGAAACGCGTCGCTCGCACGCGTTGTACACAAGATAGTACAATGTATAACGATGGGGCTTTTTTCTTTTTTCTTTTTTACGTGGGGTTTTAAACGAATACTATAACGCATTACATTATCGTAATACTTCGATATACAGTATCGAGGAATGATTTCGTTTAACGTGTATATTATTTTGTGTATGTATTTATGTGTGCGTGCGTGTGTGTATAATCGAATGTATACGTGTATACGTATGCATGGCTGTGTGTTTGTACGTATGTATCCATTAAATTCCGTTCGTTTTGTCTTTTGCATCAGACGATGAGGCTTACGGTCTACATAGTAGTAGTTAGGCCTTGTATACATTTTCATTTTGAGATCTAAACTTAAATACACCTTAATTTACGATGACTTAAATTAGTCGATAGAAAGAGCAAAAAGGGAATAAATATTTAGAACACATTTTTCAATGAGACCTGACGAAATTTCTTTGTTTGTTTGTAATATTGTTCACTTACCTGAGGAAAAACGTATACATTAGACATCAATTTCTTTAGGTTACTTTGTTTTCCCTTTTGGCTTCTTTCTCTTCCTTTCGGAATGGAACGATACGCGATCGTATATAAGACGACTAAACGGAATAGTCTTCTTACTTGGCTACATATCGTTCGGTAGTTTCTTCTTTTTTTTTTTTTTGTTATTATTATTATTTTTTTTCTGTTTTTTATTTCTAAAACGATCCAGCGTATGGAATCACAGTTACCAGATAATTCGAATATAAGCGCGTCTTTCGACCCTTATTTTATAAACCCCGACTTTAATGTGCTTTCTTTTTTATTTACGTGTTACGTGTGCACGTACACAGAAAATATACACACGTAGAACACGTGTCCGCATCCAAGGAAACATAAAAATAGATTCCCCCTCTCCAAAAAAAAAGAGAAAAAAAGATCATCAGATTTTATAGTTATTTCCCATTCACACGTTTTTATACGATTTTTTTCTAACTACGACCTAAGACATTAGAAGCGCACGCTGAAATTTCGCTGTCACGTTCTCTCTTATGTTTCTTCTTCTTCTTCTTCTTCTTCTTCTTCTTCTTCTTCTTCTTCTTCTTCTTCTTCTTCTTCATCTTCTTCTTTTTTTCTTCCAATTATATTTCTACCTCGTGACTTTTTTCACCCCTTAACGTGCGACACGCGCTCTATAAACTATACGTAATAGCAATATATGCTTATAGCCAAAAATAAATGATGAACTCTTCTAAAACAAATACCGTACAACTAGAAGTCGATCGATATCACGATCGATCTGAGGTACGTATGTTTCGAACAACGTCGTTATTGTAGACATAGAATCTTCGTGATTCTCAATCAATAGCAAAATATGGATATTTATTTTTTCTTCTTTTTTTTAATCTTTCTTTTATCTTTTTTTTTATCATTATCATCATCATTTTTTAGTAGTAGCAGCTTCAATCTTCTCTAACGCGTCCACGTTTAAAAATAGATTATTCAACATCTTTAGATTCTATTGTAAATAGTTAATTAAGTTATGATTTCATTAGAAGCATTTCAGTTTGTTTGGAACTATTTGTTGCGACGATGTCCTCCAATGAGAATTTACGTATGGAGACATAATATCTTTCCGTTAGATATTACGTATGTTATACCCCATACATATTATTCTCGATAAGACAAATACAGACCCCAACCCAAACCAGACAAAAAAAAATCAATATGCATAAGAAGCCCGTGTTTTGTTTGCTTTTTTTGGTTTTCTCTTAGTGACACTGTCGCAACATTCTCCCTTTAGTTTATCTAGAACGGGAAAGAACGTAAGGTATGATTAGGTATTCGTTACCCTTCAGTACCAAACGTAATGGAGAAGCCGTTACAATTTACCACAGTTCGTAATTAGAATATTCTTAGTAGGCTTGCCAGCTGTATCACCAAACGTTGATATCTTTTCAACTAATTCAAGACCTTCCACGACATGACCGAAGATTCCCGTAAATCCTCGCATTTCATGTAGTATGATTCGAAATTGTGATCCAACCATACCAAAGTTGTCGTGACGTTTCTGCGTTCTTCTCATTCCTACGGTACCTCTGATTGCTGGGAATTTAGTGTCATCCGGCATAAAGTAGCCATCTTCGAATATGCTCCTTCCTCCTCGGCCATTGTTAAGCTCGAAGTCTCCCGTTATTACGGACTCTCCTTCCCAGCATTGGAATATGGTACAACCCTTGTAACCAAGTCCAGCTTCGCCGGTTGCTAACATACTAAAATTCTTTGCCATCTTTGGCGCAACATCTGGTCTAACTTCGATAACTATACGGCCGTGAGGAGTTCCATTGACCTCGATATTAAAAAAATATAGCGGATAAGGGTTGGATGGGCCACGAAGAGACGCCGCCATTCCCGTGGACGGTGGTTGGGGAGATGAATGGACGGTTACCAAACTTGTCCCGCTAGCGCCAACTGCTTCTGGCATAAACGTTGATTGTTGTTGCGGATGCAACATAGCATTTTGTGGTGCAGATGGAACGGGTTTCACGGACGGCGAACCAGGTGGGATTAAAAGCTGCTGTTGAGATTGTGACTGCTGCTGTTGATTGTTTTGAGACGGCGGAGGAGGACCTTGATGAACGTGAACTGATCCAGGTGGAGCTTGTTGCGGGCCCATCATACTTGGGTGATACTCAATCGAACCATTTTGCATTTGTTGCTTAATAATATAATAATGTCTCGTGTACAATTGCGACATACAATAATTTGCAAGGAACAGTGTAGCATTCTGCGAATTAATGACATGATTGGCTAATCTAGTACCAATACTAAATGTTTGAGAAACGATCGATTCTCTAGCTTGTATACTATCCAGCGCTTGTTTTAAGGTTTCAAAGTTGAAAACAACTTCGGAATTTCCTATCAAATCGTCCAGTTGACATTGGTACATCATATCTTGGTACTTGGTTTGTAACCTTTGCTTTTCGACGATTAATTGAGAGTGTAAGTTATAAACGTCGCTAGGGTTGTCATAAATTGACAAACTGGCATTTGCTTTTCCTACAATTTCACGAGCATCTGCTAGTTCTGGCATATGATTCCAATCATTACTTAGATCCGTTTCCACATATGTCTTCAAAGTAATGCATGCCTCCTGTACTTTCATTAAGAATGCTCGTTGATACGATGCCAGTCTTTGTATATCCAAGGACAGCTTCCCCATGGCGGCTAGTTCCAATTGGACCTATCGATAAGTTGTCGTTGTTGAAAGATCTTTTGTCGATCCTTTGGTATTACAAGTGAAGGCACAATGCAGGATACAACTTACGATAATCCAAGATTATCTTTGTTTTTTGTTTTCCTTTATAAGAGAGAGAAGGAAAGAGAAGCTACTTACCTCAGTTACAAGTTGTTCTTTGGCATCGATTTGCGACTTAATCTGATGTCCCGGATGTTCTTGAGGCGTTGCACATGCTCTGCAAAGTGCCTTGCAACATGTTGTGCACCAAAAAGCCAAAGGCATCCCATGAGTGTGACAATTTTCACTCTGCAAACAAATGAATCTTATATATTTGTTATATTATCGATCGCATTTTAAAACGTTAGTAAAAGATGGTGGAGATTTTAAAATAGATTAAATAAAAAAAAGAGAGTTGTAAGATTAAAGTGATAGAAAAATTCAAAAAGATAAAAAAACAAAAAATGAAGTATAAATATGCAGCAAAAAGGGACAAAGTACGTTATAATATAAAGGAGAAAGGAACGTCGTATAATGTGATCCTATTACCACGAGAATCTTTCTCGATATGGCTTCGTAACTTGAATGGTACTCTTTCCTCCCTATCATGCACCTATGTGTCCAGGAATTTTGTTTTTAAGCAACTGAGAATAATATTAATGAAAGCAAATAGTCATAAATAGATTTCTAAAATAAAACTGAATTCTCACACACATACACATGACACACATACACATGACACACATACACATGACACACATACACATAACACACATTTTTTCTCTCTCTTTTTCTTTTCTTTCTAGATAGGCGTAATATTTTTCTTTGCTCTACACAATTTATTATATACCTTTCTTTCTTTTTCAACGCATTTACTGTTCCTTAAATGAGGGAGGCTGTTTGCTAGGGTAAGAAGTGGAGAATAAGTCGGCAAAGAATCTGGTCCTTGATCACCCAAGTCAGTCTTATTCCAACAATGAGCACAAAATAATTCACGTCCTTTCAATAATTTTTGTTCTATGCAACGCAAGCAGAAATAGTGTTTGCAACTAAGATATTTAGGACACAGTTCAACATCATTGAATTTTTGGTTGCAATAAGTGCAAAGCGTCAGCTTCTCTAAATCCGTCAATACACTTGGATCCAACATCTGAAAGCATAACAGAATTACATTAATTTTATACAATCATAGAAAAAGAGTGATAAGATTGCTTTGAGAAATTTTTCTTATTAAAATAAACTATAATCGATTATTGACTAAAAAATGTTTGAAAATGATAACTATATCGAACAAAGCTGTTTCCTTTAACTTGGTTTACTTGAATTAATCAAATGTTATTTTATAAAGTAAAAATATTTTTTTTTTGGCTAGTTTAACAAAATTTAAAATAATGTCAACACAGATAGACAATGTCTATCACTTATTTCACTTTTTTTTAAAAATACAAGTGATATAATCATAATCCCAGAAATGATAGTGACGTATATCAGATATAGAATCTTTCTTCCATCTCTCTCTCTCTTTTGATATGAAATGTAGTGCATTTTGATTTCTCATTTGAACAAATAACTAATGCACAGTATTTATGCTAGGTTAATATCTACCATAAAGATGATTAATCTTTCATTCTTACATTTTTTTCTTTATTCAATGAATTAAAAAATAATGTAAATAAATTATAAAATTGCTTCTTTGAAAAAGTCACTTATTCGGTTTTCAATTTGTTTATTTACATTAAAAAAAGAAGAGTTTACCTGAGACACGTGATCATCTTTATAGTTGATATGTATATATCATGTGTATATATGTTTATACTTATGTGCATGATTTTGAATGTTTCGCTTTATGTAGAAGATATTAATTAATTCGGAAAAATTATTAACCTTATTATCTCTTTTATTTTTACCAAGAAACCAAAAATGTTTTGTTGGCATTTTTTCATGTTATTTTTACAAATTGTTTTATTTAACAAAATATTAGAATTATTATAAACAACTAAAAGTATCTTAAAAAAACAACTAAAAGTATCTTAAAAAACAACTAAAAGTATCTTAAAAAACAACTAAAAAAAAAAAAAAATGTAACCACGTGGTTGTAACCTTCACTGCACATGGCACAAAATAAAACTGACGAACTTCTAGTTCTTTCAGGATGGAAAGGATCGAACCCGACCATTTTCAATAGAATTCTTCGGATTATTCTGAAAGGTATCCTTTTTCCGTTAAAACGAACCAAATCCAGAAATTCTACTTTTCTGTAAAAGGTTCAAATACAAACGTCATCGTATATTCTGGAGCAGTCTATTTATCCGGCGAAGTCACTACTAGACAATATTGGCAGGAATGTTGAACAAAAGGATGTTATTTTTTCGTATATGAAAAGCGCGTGCGCATGAAATCGCGCCAAAACCTAGCTATAGTGTTATCCCGGAAAGAATGACGAGGGAAAGAGGAAGCGAAGAACAGGGAGAGAGGGGACACGCTCGTGCGTATACGTTTTACATGTATAGGATGAAAGAGAGAAAGTAATAGAGTTTTGAAGGAGAGGGAAAGAAACAGGAAGGATTCGAATCGTCCAACACAAGTCTAAGTAACACTTAGAACTTTAATATGGAGTAGTAGTAGTAGTTACTTGCCATTCGGCATTTGTTAACACGACGATGTTTAACGAGAGAAGAAAGAGGGGGGGGTGAAATAGAATTGATAAGGAAAAAAAGGTATCGTGTAAATGAAATTTTCTATTGCTATTCGAATACCTCGTAATATAGGTGGGCAGGAGAGCAGACAGGCGACAGGCAGGCGGAAGGCATATCGTGGCGACAAGCTCCGCATGAGGAAAAACGAGTGCGCGCGCCCACCGAAAAAGAGAGAGACAGAGACAGAGACAGAGAGAGAAAGAGAAAGAGAAAAAGAAAGACTAGCCGATAAACGATTGTAGGTCGAACGATGCGCGGATTCCCAAGCTTATCGGTCGGCGGCACATTCACTCTTCTAAACGACTTAGAGATTCACAAAGTAGTTACTACGTGTCACACAGTAGACCGAGGGAATCCGCGGGAACTTGGCTCCTCCTCCTCCTCCTCCTCTTTTCCTCTCATCATCACTTACGCGCGCTCCGTCTCTTGGTTCTCCCTCTTTTCCCCCACCAATCACGTATTTACGCGCGCCCGCGCGCGCCATATTGCCTTCCCGCTTACGTAGAGAGAAAGAGAGAAAGAGAGAAAGAGAAAGACAGACGTGTATGCTCATACATGCTCTCTCTTACCATATCTTTTTCTCCCTCTTTATTCTATATCTCTATTACTCTCACCCTTTTTCTCTTTCTCTCTCCTTATTATACGCATCTATGTAATAAAAAAAAAGATAGAAAGAAAGAGGTAAAATCTTTCTCTTATAAAAGACACTGTCTTCTTCTTCTATTAGAATCATCTAAATGCTCCGTACCGTGTATACGTTTGTAATCGTCTCCTTACCGCGCGATGGAGGCTGATCGTTGACACTCGTCACTCCCGAGATATATCGTTGTAAGGATGCTTATATCTTCTCCTTGTTATTCTCTCACTCCAGCACATACGATCATATTTTAATTTACATCGGGACTGACATACCGCGAAATCCCACTCGCGAATATTTAGACGCGAATTAGTCGCCGTCGTTGCCGTCGTCGTTGTTGCCACTGTTGTGTCTTCGTCGTGATCGTTTTTGAAAAGATAGTACCCGGTGGGCTGTACGTTGTTTTTTTGGTCGTCGTCCTAATCCTCGTCGCTGTCACCGTTACTGTTGTTGTTGTCGCTGTTATCGTTGCTGTCGTCGTTCCGTCACCGTCACTTTCACTGTCACCGTTCCTGTCACCGTCGCTGTCACCGTGTTCGTCGTCGTCGTCGTCGTCGTCGTTGTCTTCTTTCCTCTCTTGTCGTGATACTCTAATAGTCGTGGGGGGATTTTTTTTTACTTGCTATGTTTGTTTGTTTGTACTATTCGCGTTCAACAATGTTTACGCTTTTTTATCGAACCTCGTGAGTTATTGTGGATAACATAACGACGGCGCGCCGGTTAACGCGGCGTTGCTCCAGCTTTTAGCTCGTGCAAACGTTTTGCCACATCATGATGTTTGGTTCACTAAACTAACCACTAGCATGGCGGCGACGACCGACCGACCGACACACGCACTACAACCGCGCACTCCTCCGCTTACGCTGTTGCTCTTTCTCTCTCTCCTTTTCTCACTCTTGCTTTCTCGTCACATCTATTCTGCCTTCTTTCTTTCTCTTTCTCCTATCTCCTTCCCGCTATCAACCAATCGGCCAGCGATATTTCGCGTGCGTCATTTGGACGATTCCTCGCATTGCGGCGACACCATCAGCCTTACTTCGAATCTTCCACGCTCCCCCTTCTCGATTTTTCTTTCTCATGTCCTGCGCATGCGCGCGCATTCATTCATTCAATGCCGATAGATGCGCCTTAATGTTTTGCGATTCAAAATTTTTCTCGCCCTTCCTATATTTCTTTCCCATTTAACATATATATCTTATTATTTATTTATGATATTTATTGTATATCATTAATTTTTATTATTTTTTTTTTTTTTAGGAAAAAGATAGCTACGGCAATGAAGTATCAAGGCTAGCAAGACCTCTACCCGTGGAATATTTATTAGTGGATATACCTGCATCCACTCCACTTACTCCCCAATTTACTTTTTATGCAAACGATGATATTACTCCGTTCCTTATTGAAAACAGGTAATACGTTGATAATATTTAACTTAAAAAGAGTATAATAATACGATTATTGGATTTCAGATTAATTGATGGACAAGTTCAAGAGTTTCGTTCATTGTGCACTTATATGCAGCAGTTTAATTCGGACCAATTTTTAGAAGCTATTTCAGATTTCCACTTGCTTTTGTTTATTACAACAATGGATATGCTACCCATGAAGGTATGCTGATTAATGTATATATATTTTCGTTAAGGTAAATAGAAATTTGGATTTATTTTAATTCAATTTTAGGATCACATGGGACCATTGCTCGAAGCTGTGCGTACTAAAAATAAACAAACAGCAATTGAATGGTCACGTTCGGAACATTGGGCCACGGTGGAACAATTAATATCAGCTAGTGCAGCATCCACGTCACAAGTTCCGCAAGCACCGTTTAATAGCGGCATGATTAGAGCATCGTCTTCCCTGCCAGCAACTAGTTCTAGCGTAGCCGTTGGCACGGAAGCTGCTGCTGCTAATTCATCTGCCAATCAAGAATTATGGACCTGTCCTCATTGCACTTTTATCAACGGTGCAGAATTTTCAATATGCGAAATGTGCAGTCTACCAAGGTACTCCTAAATGAAGTCTCCATATTTTACAAAACATTGTGTGCTCTTTTAAGGGTGTTCCCTCTTTAAAAATCATTAATTTACTTCCGCAGGATTTGACTCATCCTGTATCCTTGCGGATATTATGATTGTTTTCTACGCATCTTTGGCCTTATTTATGAGTGAATAAAACAGACAAAATAAACATAAGAAAAAAATATCAAGCAAAAATACATATTTCCGACTAACACTAATGCACTACCCTGCTTTTTTGATCTAATGATTATTCGTTTACAGCCATTTTACATACTTGACTGTAATGAATCCCTGCAAGTTACTTCCGGTTTGTCAGTTGTCCATTTTGCAAAGACATATTTTTTAAAGATACAAAAAAATGTAAAAATTTATTAAACTTTTATATTCTTACAGAGGTGACCAAGATGTTTTTTCGTAGCTGGATTCTAGATTATTAAAATATGATCAGCGAAACGTCAGGGAAATGAGTATTATAATGTCATATTACTCTGCCACGTAGTACTAACGAATAGGAATGGAATTTTTCCTTATCTCATATGCTATGGTATAAGTTAAATTCCTCATTGAAAAATTCACTCATGTTCGAAAAAAACAAAATATTTGCTTTAGTCGGTTAAAAATTATAAACTGTGATTCAAGATAGGTTCTGTATTTATTCTATTGTGTTCTTATACAAAGTTATTTAGTTTTCTCAAATATGGAAAGAATAAAATAAAAAAATAAAATATATTCATTTGGTTTGGTAAGAATAAAAATATTTTGCATTCTGCATTTCCTTTTTCTTTTTTTTTAATATTATTTTTTTTTATTTTATGTGAATTATTTTCAATCCAACGTTAAGATTTCATTGAAGAAAAGTCTTTGCAAGCAATTCTTGATATTATCAAATCTGTATAAGTAGATACAATTAGTTCCTCTTTATCAATTTTATAATATTTTTGTACTAGTTCTAAATTATTTAATTCATTCAGCTTTTCTAGCGATATTCTTTCTCCTTTTATATTATCAATAATCATTTTTGAAATAGATTCTTGCTCGTCTATTTTGTGAATCGCTACAGCCAATATATTTGTGTCATTGTCACTTATCCCAAAGTCTGACAGTGATTTGGATATATTTTTAGTCATTGAAAGATAAAATAAAGTCTCTGTAAATTTATTCCTTGTAATTAACTGATTACAACTGTCATTAATTGCCGCTTTGTTGGCAGCTATTATTATTTGAAATGGATCTACTATGCATGTAGGTTTTAAGAAGCAGCAAGCAAGATCCCCAGAGATCACTTTCTTTTTGACTTCAGAAGTATTTTTTACATTTTTAAATAAATACAATGTACAATGCATTTTTGTTTCTGGGTCTAATTGTATACTGTAATTATCTTGGGCTGTCATCTTTATATTATATATATAGAGAATATAACCTTAAAATACACTAAGTCGTGAACAAAAACACTGATTAAAATAAAACTACTGTAATATATTCTCTATTAAAAGATAATTCCTTCACTCGTGAAATTTCTTGGACAAGTTTCGTTTGCTTTCTGATTGGTTTTAATTTATGATCGCTTAATAGTACATGCAATGCACACCAGAGGATTCCTGCATATATTTCAAGTTTTTTTAAACTGATATACATATCTTATTTGTATATTTTCAATGTCGATATTATTGGCGCTCATATTTGGATATTGTTAGCGACGATACATGTTTCGAGTATGTTTCAAGAAAAATAAAAAAATATATAATAATCTATGAGATATATCATCATTTAAAAAATATTCATTATTTGATCGAGTGATCAGCAATCGTTCGATATATCGATCATTCATCGATTTACATTTTCGACCATTAACATACAAAATTTAAATCATATTTATTATCAAAAAAGAATGGAGAACTGATTTGTATAGTAGATCCTACAATTTTGTAGGATATCATTGTCATCATTAATAAATATGGAAGATGATTCACATTCACATATTTTTGATCGAATGTTTAATACTGGTAAAAAGTACAATTCATAGAGCACGTTTCATATTTTTTCCTTTAATTTTATTAATTTTTTTATTATTAAATATTATTATTTATTATAATTATATACATAATCATTATTTCTTATTTTATTGATAATTGTTAGTAAACGGAGGTGTTAAATGGACTGTACAAAAAATAGAATCAGCGTGTCCTTGGAGAAGAAAAAAGTCTGAAAGCCAATTAATTATACCCGAAAAAGAAAGCGATATTAAACCCGATTATCGTTCAGCTCCACAAACCGATGAAAGTACCGATTTAAAAGACCAAGACAAATCTAAAAATTCAGATGAAAAGTTATGGGAGTACAAAGCACCTAGTGAAATGACATCTTGTTGTTTCATTAAAATGCAGGTTAACGATTAGATGATTTAGCTATCAACGATAATTATTTATATAATATTAAGGGGGGTATTCTGGTATAGAAGCCTAAATTTTAGGCATTTTTCAAACTAAGATAAAAAAAAATGAAAAACATTTTTAGTATCCATTTTTTTTATATGATGTTTATTAACATTTTAAGAATACAAAAAAACTCGTGAAAAAAAATAAAAAATTTGTAAAAATACAAGCCGGTGAAGTGGTGGCTACAAAAAAAACGGTGCACTCTGGTTGACGTGATTCCAATCCTTGTAATGATCTGAAACACAAAAATTTGGAAAATTCTTAATCAGTAAAGATGTCGCTATCGGGTAACCCTTAGTCAAAAAAAAAATGCACGAAATGGCGTCGATATGAAACAAAAATTTTTTTTTACTCTTTTTTTTTATCTCAAATTTTTTTTAAATATTAAAAATTAAAATTATTCAAAATCCAAAGGTCACCCAATAGAGAGATGTATAAAGAAGATTTTCACCAAATTTTAAGGTAGTACCCCCCTGCGAAGACCGAAATTTTAATGCTTTTTCATGAATTTTTTTGAATAGGAAAACAAAATACGATCGTTTTGAAATTTTAATATGTTTCTATCAGTATCTTAAACTATACAAAAAAATTTTTTTAACCTAATTTGGACAATATTTGTCCCTTTTTTTTAACGTCAAATTAGAGTCCCCCAATTCAATTTGCGGAAGCACAGAGCCTTTGTAGACGTCTGAAACAAAAAAACTAAAAATACTTATTATTCTTTAGGCTTAATTATAGACATGATACCAACAATATGTATATTTTTTCAAATAAACACAAAATGACGGACGTGTGAAAAAAAATTTTCAAAATCGGTGCTGTTTCTTACCTTTAATTATTTAAAAATATATATTTATTATTAAAAAGTTAAAGATTTTTGAGGTTCCAGTCATCAGAATATGTGTAAAGAATAACTTGTAAAAATTTTAGCCTAATCGGTTCTATAGATTTTAGTGAGTGCTTTCGCAAAATTTCAAAAATGTAGTTTCGAGAAAAACGCGTTTAAAGTTTTGAGAACAGATTTTTTTATAAAAAAATTATACTAACATTATTCTGCTATGCCTGGTGCATACAGTAGTCCTTCAGCTTCCTCATAATTATCATTTTAAACAGCTTTGAGAACCCTACGTAGGTTTTGGCCTCTTTAGAGTAGGCTTCTGTAGATTTTTCGCTCTCAAAATACGAGCATTATCAACGGTGTCGACGTAGTTTCTGGCTGTTTGACCAATGTATTTAACGTATTTCAAACCATAACGCTTCTCAGAACGCTTGAACATTTCAGAAACACTGTCGACCTCCATTTTGTCACTGCTACCCTCGTGATTTGCTGTGCATTCATTTTTGTGATCTTCAGATAAACTCTCAGCTTCGATGGGGTTTTTTGTTGCTAAATACTGACATGCTTTACATATGCTTGATTTTACTATCACATCAATTATTTTATTCGAAAATTTGCTTATCAACAACACATTACCTAACAGAGAGTAAATAGAGGCAACAAAATAGAGGCGTTCTGAGTTATACACACTACGGCGCGCTCCATACTTTCGGTTATAACTTTGAGAATACTTTGAATATCGGTCTGAAATTTTCGAAGCATATTTTTAAAATGTTTTTCTTACGAAATATGTAAAAAAAATAAATTTGATTTTTTTAATTCGACACAGGGGGGTACTACCTTAAAGAAATCGGTCGAGTAGAACTTGAGATATCATGTCAACCACCTCGAAAAAAGTAGTTTCGAGAAAAACACGTTCAAAGTTTCGCGTAGTAAGGGTAGGATACAGGATACCGCGTCACTAAAACAGCTATATCTCAGAAAATAATTTGAATTTTGAAAAATCCTTTTATGAATATATTCCTAAAAGGTTAAGCCTTGAAAATATGAAAAAAAATCGATTTTTTCAAATTTTTAAACCAGAATACCCCCTTAAGAATCATTATTTTAACATGTCACGACCGGTTTTCAATTAAAATTCTGTATTTAATGTTATTATATTTTTATTCTTCATTTATTATATTAATTATAATTATAAATATTATTTTCTTATTATCTATAAATTACTTTATACATTATTTGAGTCAGAACTTGATTTAAGACCGGTCATTCGATAGGTGATGGTATGAGTAGATATACATAAATTATCGGTTAGTTTAATCTTAAAATAAATCTTCTTTGATCATCTTATTTTACAACAGGATCCTTGCGCACCTTGTTGTTGCGAACCGAAACCTGCTCCTTGTCCACCTTATCACGAAGAACCTCGAGAACCTACTTGTGGTTGTGATCTATGTAAAAAGGGATATCCTAACGATAAATGTTGCGATCACAGAGAACAATTTCGAAGGGGTACCTTTCCACCGAGACATTTTGAAAAGGCTTGATAGAAAAATAATATATTACACATTTTTTAATTTAAACGGTACTTTCGTATATACAAATATAATATTTTAACATGTTTTCTTCATAATTATTATATTTTTACAGCGATATTAATAATAATTATAATATCCGACATTTTTACTAATTCGAGGAATTGCACAATTCGTAGGGATTTAATAGGAAAAAACGGTATTATGGTACCATTGCTTTTCTATTTCGTTAGATACAATTTCTTTGTTATTAAAAATTGTATTAAGCTTTTAATATTCATTGAATCAATTCATACTTTATGTAATAGAATATTATTTCTGATGTAATATTTATCTGGATTATCATATTATACGAGATAAGATTTGACTAAGACTTGATGAGATTACTAGGACTGTATTTTGTAGTTGAGCTCTTAGTTATTTTTTTTTTTCGATAGTAATAATATTTTATTATTGAAAATGATCAGAATTCTAATAAGAAAGTATAATAATACGTACATGCTAGCTACATTTCTAATAATTAGAAACCATCGAAAATATGATTTTACGTCGAACAACGGACAACGAAGTAAGTTAAATTTAGGTATTTATTTTGGTTGGATTGAAATACCTTCCAACAAATAATCTTATCGAAGACTATGCGTCAACCGGTTCGTTTCATTTTCCAGTCAGTTTTGTGCGTGTTATACGCCCGTGTATACGATTTAAAAACCTGAAACACAGTGAATCTTTCTTTTTGTAGGTAAGTTTTATTTAATGCTCGCAATCAATCGAAATAATTATCGACAAATTCGATCGCATTGAAATTTTTATATCTCGCGAAGAAAAAGTGTGACGCAATTAGATTAATTTGTATTATATTATATCTATCTACGAGCATTGTGTAAAAAAGAGAAAGAAAGAAATCTCGTGAAAATCAGAAAAAAACACTTGATTCCAATTCCTTATCGAGATTTAGATCTACGGATATGGATATGGTAATGTTTCCGAAAAATCTAAATCTTTATTACAAAGTGTAGAACGTTGTGGAAGTTTATAATCTTTTCTTATCAATTCGATGAAGAAATTCAAAGAAAAATATGTAAAAATGTGTAAAAATATGCGTATTAGTGTAAATACATGTTTTACACTTTTCTTTTTTAAATATTTCTACAAAATTTCTTATTTATTTCCTTTATTTTTTCTTTTCATAAACTGCTAAATAATATCATATAATGAATAAATAAATTTTCTTTTTTGACCTATAATCATTTACCGAAAACGTAACTTTACTTTAGTGTTTCAAATTGGAAATTATTTAACAGGTAGTTAGTTTTAAGGATGTTCTATCGACTTTTTAAATTCCCCGCTTTATGCATATTGACTCAAATCAAGAAAACGATACCAGCGACGTTATAGATGTGTTGTCGATTTGACAATCTTTAACTATTCGTATAGAGATTGTCAACGAGTGAGTTTTTATTGATCGAAGGTAACAAATCCTTGTGTCTTCATTGATATCAATCGATTATATGACAATTGAAGAAAAAATTTGGTGTCCCCATTGATCCACTATATTGGTAAATATGTTTTATTTTATGGCTGTTTTACAAATTCAAATGAATGGTTCTCTATGAGAAAAGAAATATCATTATTTCATGGAATGATTTTGTACGATTCATCGCATGGGCGATGTGTTAAATATGTGTTAAAATATGATATGGGCGTTGGTTATAATTGTATAATTCTATCCACAAGAGTGGACAAGAGTGGTGGTATTGGTAAGAAGGAATCTAAATGGGTGGGGGACCATTTCAAGGTCATGGACGAATTCTTCTCCATATTTGTATAATGGACCAATATGACTACCTGTATTTTTTACCCAGATCTCTATCGATTTTTATATGTTCATACAACGTTCATGGTCATTTTATTTAGATTATCAACCAGGTCGTCTTTTTACTGCAACTATTCATCATCAGTCAAGAACTACGTTTATCTAGTTGTATACCAATCACTGTATACCCTTATTCGTAACTACTTTTGATTTTTGTTTTTCCATTTTTGTTTTTTTTTCGTTAAGAATTTTTATATATTATTTTTATTCTTTTTTTTTCTAAATATCTATAATCGTTCGAGATATTATCTAACGAGAACGAAAAGATCATCGTTATACAATGTTTTTTTACTTAAAACATGTTTTCTTTTCTATATCAGATTAGAATCGATAGAAATTTTTTGAAATAAACAAATTTTGATTTGTCTGTCTTTATTTCTTTCTTTCTCTTTCTTTCTCTCAATATGAATAGTTCTACGTACTTAGACAAACAAAATCGATTAAATGACAAGCATCTATTTTATCATCCACGCAAGTCTTGTCTAGATAGATCATCTATCTTATTCTTTTAACTTTACGAAGATATAATCATACGCATCGATGATATTTTTTAATTTATTGCTTTTTACGTGTTAATTTATTTATAGTATTTGTAACTTGTAAAATAAAAAAAATGTTTTACGATAAAGAGATTACGATTAAGAAATACAGATTTTGTCGAAAAAGAAGTCAAATTTATCAAATCTTCAATTTATTCGTATCTTTTATGTTAATCTTATCGACTTATTATATTAACAAATAATATACAAAATGTAATAAAAAACTATTTTTAAATATTTATCTCTCTCGTAAGAATTACTGAATTAACTTCGATATAAAGAATAAAAGAAGATACAAATGATAAAAAAGATGAATAGAAAAAATTAGAATTAGAAAAGAAATTTGTCAGAGAAATAATCCATTGACGTCATATCTCCATTACGATATATTATTAATCGTTGTAACGTTAATCATTATCGTTGAATAATTTTTAAAACAATTTTCCAACAAATTATTTATCTGAGAAAATAAAGAACCATTATTTTTACTTTTTTTTTTTTTTTTAAATATAAACGTCATTATCATTCAAATCATTATCATTCAAATTGATAAATCGTTAGAATTACTACATCCGTTTGAATGAAATTCCATTACAAGTGTTTTATCAAATCGATCGATCGATTGTTTTTTTTCGACAATTTATAATTTTCGGGGATTTTCTTTTTTTTTTTCAATAAACAAGGAACCCCAAAATAATTTCGTAGATTTCTCCTTTAATTTGATCTTTGTACCTAACCACAGTTTGTGGTAACTCCTACTCATGTTCTCCGTTTCAGGGTCGAGTGTCAATTGAATTTACGAATTCAAAAGAGATTATGCTCAGCGCGCTTATCTTTTTGCTTGTGATCGTTCGAGCAACGTGATTGGTTAGTTGTAACTTAAGATCGGTGTTGTCCATCGTGTTTAATCGTTACGTAGTTCTTCCATCGCAATTCTGTCATTGGGACTTTCCTGGGGTGGGAGGAGGAGGTTCTCAGCTGATTCTCTTTTATATACGCGTACCAAACACTGGTTTCTTAGTCAACGTTTGGCATTCACAGCGAGACGACAGACACAACCAATCAAGATGCACTTACGTGAGTAGGAATCTTCTACATTAGATATTTCATTCAATTATTCCAAATTTTTATCACTAAATATTGCACCCTTCGATGTATCCCCAAACAAATGTTGTGTGTGACTTTGTCTTTTAATCAATTTTGAAATTCAAATGCCGATTACTTACGAACTTATCAATGTATCATCTGTTATTTAAAAAAAAAAATCATTTTAATTCTAAATTTTTCTATGATTACAATATATTACTAAAAAGATTTTCTATTTATAAACTATGTATCAATATAGATGTTGTCTATAATTTATTCAAATTATTTCTGTTATATCCGGGTGTTAAATTACATTTTATTTTACATTTAATAATATCGAAGTTTCATTGATGTATTATTTCTCAGAATATATATCAATTATGCATCATTTAATTTCACTTCACATTCAATTTAGATAATTATTCATATATATATGTATACTTAAATATATTTAACTGTCATAATACGAGAACGTGATCTTGAACATGATTCTTCCTCATTGCTAAATGACTTGAACGAATGTAATATGTTTTCTTGGGTACATCTATATACATAGAATATACTAACGTTATCATAATACATTTAGATATACATATAATCAAGCTAATATAAACTATAATGTGATTGCCATTATCTAAAATAATAAAGTTCGATAGGAAGACATTTTTAATATTTATTTTTCTTTTAAATCGTTCATACTTTTCGAAATATCTCATCAATAAATCAGCAATAATTTTTTATATATATATGGATGTATGTGTATAGTTACATCATAACTAGATACTTATTTAAATAATTCCTTTAAAGTTATTAGACTTATAGGGAAGAATACGTTACCAGTTACTGCAATTATTATGCTAAACCCCTTGCCTCCTCTCACTGACACAATGGGTTTTTCCAACGAGACTTGAGGAAATATTGGATAGCTTGCGTATATAACTTACACATATTATACATGAATAGTATATATACGGGCATATCTTATTCTACATTATCGTTTAACACATTTGGTGTCAATTAAATAGGTTTACTTTACTGTATTTTTCTTCGTACATATGTAATACATGAAATATAGGATTATAATTGACTTCGATTTGTTTTAGCTTATCGTAATGGAACATTTTTTTAATACTGCCTACAATTTATAATAATTTATTCGTTAGACATTTGTATTTAACGATAATTAATCATTTTATCCAATTTCATTAATGTTAAATTTTTTATCGATATTTTATAACAAAACAAATAGAAACATTTATACATAGTCTACCAATTAGTTTTGTTAAAATATATTTTTATATATCTTTTTATGTAACCCCTTTCTTGTTAATTATCATTTAATGTGTTCAAACGACGGGAAAGTACAATTGATAATTTCTTTCGAAATTAAAAAAAAAAAAAATCGTGCTCGAACTAAACGATCTTGACCTTATTTTTGCATCTAACTGTATTCTTGATTACATTTTATCCATTTATTTTTTTAATTTTTCTCCTCTCGTTTTAAATTTATCGCAGTTAAATGTTTTCTCATTTTTACATAAAAATTTTCTCTAATCAACAAATTTATTGCGATAAACTTATGTTTTAATAAATTAGAAATCATTTTTTTTACGTACAATAAATTATTACAAATATTTAACAACGCGATCCGTTTAATGAAATTTAATATATTTTTAATTTTTATTTTAATATATTTTTAAGTTTAATTAATGAAATATAATTCAAATAATAATTTTCTTTTTATTTTTATTTTCAGTATCAAATTTATTCGTTTGGGCAACCTGCCTGGTAGTCGCCATGGCTGGACCTACTAATAATAATGACAGGGCTGTCCAGGCTGTCACTGAAGGAACCAACTCCTTCTCAACGTCTTTCTTCGGTGTAAGAAAAAATAAATCTTTATTTCGATATATTATTATTATAATTTCATTGAAATTGAATTATTAATTAGGCTATTTTATGTTAAATTTTATTAGGAGGTAGCATCATCAAACCATGGCAATTTGGTCACTTCTCCTCTTAGCGCTTCCGTTGTTCTTTCCATGGCTGCCTATGGTGCCCGCGGAGAGACACAAGAGGAAATGAAAAGAGTTCTCCATCTTCCCCCGGAATCCGACGCTACACCTGGATATTCAAGTCTTATCAAAACTCTTAATGTAAGGATTATTAAATCTCTTATCTTAATTCTATTTAAAAATGATGAAATTTACCAAATCATTCATTTCAAAATTATACATCCCAGGCCGTAACTGACGTAGAACTTCGTCTCGCCAATAAAGTTTTCGTCAACAAGAAATTCAGCGTAAAACCAACTTTCCAACAATTGACTCAAGATGCATTTTTATCGACCTCGCAATCCTTGGACTTCTCTCAAAGCTTAGCGGCAGCAAGTACTATCAACCAATGGGTTGAGGAGCAAACTAAAAACCGTATTAAGGACCTCGTCAAATCCGGTTAGTTTATATTTTTAGTTTTCTATTATTTATTACCTTTATTGCATATCTCATATTACGTGTATATTTATTTTCATTGCAGATAGTTTAGATGGTGGAACCGCCATGGTGCTCGTCAATGCTGTCTACTTCAAGGGTAACTGGAAGAACAAGTTCAATTCTAAATTGACTCAAGATAGACCCTTCCACGTCAGTAAGACCGAAGTTAAGAATGTACCTACCATGCACAGAACTGGAATGTACAACTATGGTGTACTTCCCGAATGTAAAGCTTCCTTCATCGAGCTTCCATACAAAGTAATTTGATACTCAACTTGAGTTATTTATATTTATTGACTAACTAAGATCTTAAATAAATGAATTGTTACTTCTTCAGGGTGACGAATTCAGCATGATCATCATCTTACCTGACGAAGTCGACGGATTGGCTGCAATTGAAAAGAAATTAGCAGTTCACGGTCTCGAAGAAGTTCTTAAGAGAGGACACAAGACCGAAGTTGAAGTTTACTTGCCTAAATTCAAGATCGAAAGTACTATTCAACTCAATGACCATCTGCAAAACGTTAGTATTAAACGCTGTAATCAACATTACATTTCACGAAATGACATATATCATTAAAACATTATAATTTTTTTTTCCTTAGATGGGAATCAGAAAGGCCTTCAGCCAATCTGAAGCTAACTTCGAAGGTATTTCCGACACTGGTGTTTACATCTCTGAAGTCGTACAGAAGGCATTCATTGAAGTAAATGAAGAAGGTAGCGAAGCTGCAGGTGCAACTGGTAAGTACATTACAACTATTATAAATACCTGCTGTTTTTGTGCTTTTTAATTTTTATTTAAACATAAGTAGACAAAGGCTACAGTGATGAAATGCTAACAATTACTTTGTCACTTCTTTTATTTATTTATTTTTTGTTTTTTTCCGATAATTCTGAGAAACGTACTAACAACATTACATAATACAATAATTTATTTATGCTATTTAAAATAAATCAGCAATGCATCTTATTTGTTCATTTGTTTGTTATTTCTACTTTCTCAGAATTTTTTCAGAATTTTTAAATATTTATTGCATTTCGTGTACTTTGCTCTTCTTGTGTTTATAAACTCAGCTGCTATACATTCTTTTTTTTTTTATTTACTGTTAATCTTTAGTTCAGATAATAATTTTTACCATATTTCAAGCTTCTTTATTTTTTTTTTACTGCAATAAAACATTTATCTGTTCAATGTGCTTCTTATATCAAATAACACATCACTTTCTGTTTTCTTTTGTTTTCTTTTTTTTTCTTTTCATTAACAGCTGTATCCAATCGCTATTAACACTCTTAAAGGTCTGTGTATATTTCTTGATTTGTCAAACAAACTAAGCATTTACTTTATAATCTCTTCTCACAATCAGATAGTAACTCACATGAGATAACGATGAGGATTTTTCTTCAATATTTCATATTTTCTCGATCGAAGAATAAAAGCACCGTCTTCTCGACGTTTTATCAATGAAGATTCATACAAAAATTAATTAAAAAAAAGTAATAAACGTGATTCGATGACGTGAAAGGACGATTAGAAATTTTTAGGTCTCGTTTGAATATGATAAAACAACGAGAGGAATATTCATTACGTACATATTCATTAGGAATTTTAATGATATTTTTCTATCATTTACATGGGAATAACAAATACAACTTACACTTTGTTTAACAATTTAACACTCTATTTTTTTTAAATTTTATTGAAATTACTTATAAGTAACTACAAGATTTTTATTCTCTCTTTTTCTTCTTTTTTGTTTTCTTTTTTTCTTACAATTAAAATTATTTATTTCATTTCGTTATGATGAGTCAGGTCTGTAATACTCTGTTTTAATTGATTATTCTAACAGGTATTAGATTCAGGCCTCTTTCAAGCTCATGGTCACCACCGCCGCCTATTCTATTCAATGTCGATAGACCATTCTTGGCGATTATTAAATATGGAAACATCGTTTTATTCGAGGCGAGAATAAAGTCGTAATCGTTGATCTTCTTTTCGATCAATCAAAATATTACACATAACATATCTTTTTTCTTCTTTTTTTTTTCTTCTACACATTTTTATATTATGTCAGTCAATATGAATTTGATACACGTGCCATAGATTTTTTTGTAAACTCTTTTTTAAATAGGCGTGTAATTTCTTTTTCTCTTATTTCAAATCATTTGTTCGTAAATGTGCATACGTGTATACCATTCTTAAGATAGGATGTCATCATTTGTATGAACTTATCAGTCGATAGATAAGTTTTTAACTTGCCTTATAAGAATCTCTTGTATTTTTTCTTTTGAATAATCGATTTAACAAGCATGATGCTCTATATGTGAAGCTATCTTTGATATTTTCTTAATGAATCATCGTTGCTATATAAATATGCGCATTTAAATTTTATCTATGGATAAGAAATATTTTATCGATTACTTTGTCTTCTATAAAGTTTATCAAGATTCATCAATTTTCAAATTTTTTCGTTGTTTTTTTCTAATACAAACAAAAAAGAAGCACGTTTTTCATAAATCTTATATTTAGAAGATCTTTTTAGTATCTCGTATTATTTATATATTGGTTTATAAGACTCATACGATACATTAGAGGTATATATTTATTTATATGCAGATACACACAAACACGCACGCACACATATACATTTTGTATATTTATATTTTATAATTTGTTTAAAAAAAGAGACGAATAGTTTGAGTAAAAAATAAAAATATCTATTTAAATACAAATTTATAGAAAATTAATAATTTCATATGTGAGAGATATGATTGATCTCATTTTTAAATGAAATTGACAAAACAAAGCAAATTAAGGTTTAAATTAATTAAATTTGCTAAAAGTGTATCACTGGAATAAGATATTATTTCGAAGACAACGAGAGGTATGTATGTATGTATATATGTATAGAAAGATATAGACACATGTAGTCATAGAAAAATATTATATGTAAAAATTACAGTTGAAAACTTCCGAGGGAATCTAAAATTAGATGCTTCGATTAGTAGTCGTCACAATTGCATCCATTTATCACTGCTTTCATCCTTTCACTGTAGATATAAAATCTTGGTCTATTCATAGAAAAAATATCATTTATAAAGAATACTACGATGTAGTACGATGTAGTAGTAAAAACCCGTTGGTAATATCGATCTATGGTGTCGATTAGCTTAATGTAACGTAGCGTATTTTTTTTGTGATGCTTGATATAAAAAAAACGAATATGTAACTTAAGATTAATTTTGTTGATATATACTGTTATCGTCAATGCTTTTTCGTATATAGTTTATAATTTTCTTTAGTTTTGTCAAGGATAGTGTGCCGTGCCGTCTCGTCGAAAAGAAAAATTCTATTTTTATGAATGGTGATGGTTTTTAATTTTGTTTACGGAAAGACGTTAGAAAAATTTGATATCTTTTCAGAAGGTAATATTGGCGTTAAATCAGGACGTCCAGGACCTAGATCAGAATTCAGAGCTGAGAGACCATTCTTATCTATAATTAGGAACAATAACGTACAACTGTTTGCTGCTCACGTTCGTAAACCGAGTGCTCATTAGAAAAAAGAAAAAAAAAAACCAACAAAAAAAAATTAACAAAAATGAACTGAATTGATGATAGTATTATTCCTAGAAAAATAATTAATTATCAATAAATCATTTTCTATTTGAACATTACTAAAAAGACTTTATAATATATTATGTGCACATACGCGACCGAAAATCTCATAAATCCTTCGTAGAACCTTTCGAAAGAGTTGTCTGTAAAATATTGGCAATAATTTAAACTTACAATTGAAGTTGAAATTTATTGACAATCGATTTGACAGCCATCGCTTTTCTTTTATTCTCTTACTCTCAATTTATTTATGCAACTTAACAAAGTATATAATACTTACAATTAGTTTGTGTTTTAATGGGATATGTTTAACGGCTATTTAAACAAATGATTAAAAACAATACAATCTTTTTTTTTTTTTTTTGAGATTCTTTGTAGATGGTGACGGTTGACTTTAACGAAGATCTTTTTCCTTATTATTCTTCTTCTTTTTCTTTTTGTTCTTCAGTTATTAGGAAAATGACAATATTGTTTCAGGTGTTGAACTAGAAGACAGAATAGGAACACCTTCGATCGATGCAGTTCAAGTTGACAAACCGTTTTTATTTATAATACAGAAAAATAATATTTTATTATTTGAGGGACACGTTGAAAAACCTTAATATGAGTATATACGCGATAAACGATTATATATAATTGTATAGAATTATCCTTTTCGCGTTAGAAAAATTACGTAAAATATTCCATTTAATAGACATTTCGTTATTCATGCACTCATTTCTTCGAATTATTATACATATTTTTTATACGCGTTTAATTAATATATATTTCACGTTCTATATTACATTTAGTCCATTAAAATAACCATTAAATTAACATCCATTAATTATATTATTTAAAATCAATAATTAATATCTCGATGATTGTTTCGCTTTGTTATTGAAACATTGTCTCTGGGCTATAAAAAGAACCGGTAACTTGTCTTTGCTTTTGCATATTCAAACATATTTCTTCGTAATCATAAACCTTGAAATATGTTTGATCAAAATCGTACGCTTTTAGTTACCATTAACAAAGTTACAAACATAATAATGAATAATTATTTGTATTAATTATTTTTATAGATACTGTTATAGTAGGAATATCTGGCTCAGTTACTAGAAACAGATTTATCGCAGATAGACCATTCCATTTCACGCTAAGACACAAAAATGTTTCTGCGTTCACTGGAATCGTAGCTGTACCAACGCTATAAGAACATAAGGCATTTGTTCAATCATTTTTATCGGCTGTAATTAAACGGCAAATTTTCAAAGTATCAACTTGTTTTAAAAAAAAAAAAATGACGAAGAGTAAACAAAACAATAAATTACTTAACTAACAATCATTAACCACATTTATCATATCTACTAATTCAATAATTAATAATATCCATTTATGAATTATGACTCACAATTTTAACACAAACCTTTACACTGAACTCAACATTGAAAGATCCTATCAAAATTCTATTTATTTAATATTCATTTTTCTTTTCCATTTATCGTTAAATAACAACAAATTGAACGACGAAAAATATTCTAACATTTTAACAATTTATACTAAATTGATATTGTTAAGACAAAGTTTTACGATTACACAAAAATCGTATTCTTTAGATATTTAGGCAAGAATTAATTTCTTTTGTTTTTTTATTCGACATGCTTCGCATTTGTATGTCTAATTTTTAGAGACTTATTGTCATCGAAAAGTTTATAAAAGTGTCTCGATTTTCAAGCATGCTTTGACTAACAATGCTATTTTAGGTGGTATAATCAAACCGGGCAGACCCTTTCCTCCTCCAATGAGGACATACTTTAGGGCGGACAGGCCTTTTCACTATGAAATTAGATCGACAAAAGACAATTTCTCTCTCTTCGTGGGTACAATGACCAAACCTAACCAAGGAAAAAAATAAACATTTTATTTCATTCGCTATTCAAAACTCAAACACTTTATTTGTCGAGGCTTTTTGTATTAAGATTGAGGGAAACATGTTAAAGCTGAATAAAATGATCGAACTAGTCTAATTGGGAACTTCAAAATAAAAACAAAAAAAAAAGAAAATGCAATCCTAATTTTCCAAAACTCCGATCATGAGACAATATTTCTTATTAATTATTCGTATACCTGTAAAACTGCAACGCTTACGTTACTAACTCGAACCAAACGTTAATAACGTGCGATTTTTTTTAGTGAAATTTATAAAACATATATAAGTTAGTAGTGATGAACATAGGAGTGAAAATAATAATTATAATACGATCTTCATGGTGTCTAATGAAGATCTATCATGATGAGATCAAGTATACATATACTAACTTGCCTATGCTTGCTACTATTATAAAGGGATTCACAAGAATCGGGCATATTCGCATATGGAGTATTATTAAAAATAGGAATTAATATAAATTACTGAACAATTTCGTTAACAGGTGTTATAATTTCACTTACGAGTGCCATTATCAATCCAACATCACCACCAACATTCAACGTTGATCGTCCCTTCCACGTGAAAATAATTAAAACTCAGAATTCTGCGAATAAGGACTCCTCAGATGATAAATTAGAAATGTTCACCGTCCACGTGATTGATCCGACAGTATAAGTCAGAATGAGTTAAAAACTAACTGGTAATGCATTACCAAATATATTAGTTTTAAACAGTTAAACTGTTTTCGATTATTATTATTCTTATTAATTGATTTTGTTCGATCTGCTGTAAAAGAAAATAAATATTTCTTTTGAAAATATAGTATTAAATATAAATTAAATAAGAAATCAGTCAAAAGAATAAAGCACAATCCTAAATCAACAATATTCTGATCAGTATACAGTATTTCCTACCCACCTGGGGACCAATTCCGTTTGTTGTAAAACTCATTTCAAAAACTTGTTAGGGAAAAATGACCATAACTCGCCAAGCTGGTCAGACGGGTTGGCGAGTGGATTAGGATATTTGAAGGTACAGGAAGGGGGGGGTTGGAAAGGAAATGGGGATAGGACAATGGTTTCCCCTGTATGGTCTTAGAAAATAAACCAAGGCTCGCGCAGGCAGGGGCGCCTGAAGTAGATCTGTCACCTATCGGGATCATAGATGAGTATCTACCCGCTACCGTGATGATGATAATGATGATGATAATGTAAAATTGCTACGTTAACGTTACTAACTTACATTACTAATTGCTGCTAGCAAAGGTGCTAATTTAATCGAGGATATTTTTACATTGAATGATTTGAGATATTGGACTAGATAGTAATTATTGAAAAATTTTAACAGAAATTATTTTAGCTGGATATTCAGCTTTGTTGAACGGACCACCACCACCACCAATTTTCAAGGCTGATCGACCCTTCCACGTGAAAATCATTAGAACTGAGAATCTATCCAATAACGAGCCCACAAATGGGAAATTAGAAATATTTACTGCACACGTAGCTGATCCCACAGATGATACCCAAGAATAAAAACTGATTCCTTTGATAAAGCATTGCCAAATAAATATTAGTATTAGGCAGTAACGTTGTAGTAGATTCTTATAAATTTATAGTTGCATTTAATGCTTTTCTGTAAAAAGAAATAAATACAAATAAAAAGAGAAATCAGTGAAAAGAATAAAGCACAATCCTAACTCTACAATATTCTGATCAGTATACAGTATTTATTATTAATTCTGCGTATTCGTGTAAAATTGCTACGTTTACGTTACTAACTGCCGCTAGCAAAGATGCTAATTGAATCGAGGGATATTTATACATTGAATGTTGTTATAGATTGGAGTAAATAGTAATTATTGAACAATTTTTACAGCTGTTATATTTGCAGTAGCGACTTCGTATACTGCACCACCACCACCACCACCAATTTTCAAGGTTGATCGTCCTTTCCACGTGAAAATCATTAGAACTGAGAATCTCTCCAATAACGAGCCCTCAAATGGGAAATTAGAAATGTTTACCGCACACGTGGTTGATCCTTCAGATGATGCCCAAAAATAAATACTGATTCCTTTGATATTAAGCATTAGTTTTGTAGTAGATTCTTATCATAAATTTATAGTTGCATTTAACGCTTTTCTGTAAAAGGAAATAAATTTTCCTGTTTAGAAATGTCCATTCAATAAATTATATAATAATTTGAAAAATCACAGAAAATAAATCTTTACAGGCGATAAAATAATATATTTTTGCGAACATATTTATTATTATAAATTAATGATTCATGCCATTAAAAATGCAAAAGTTAATAGTTCTTTCTTATATCATAAAAAAATTTACCTAATCGAACTTTTTTACGAAAAATATCACTTGACACTAATAAACACATAAGTAGACACTTATCATCATATTATATTAATTTATGTTTTATCATAATCTATTAGTTTGAAGGCATCAGATTATAAAATAATTTTCTCAGTATGTTGTTGCTAGAAAAAGAGCTACTTGAATCGATGTTTATATGTGGAATATTGTTAGATGTGAGACTATATAGTAATTAATGAACAATTTTAGCAGGTTTTATGGTCTTCGGTTCTCTTCCACAACTAGTACTACCACCAATTTTCAACGTTGATCGTCCCTTCAACGTGAAAATCATTAGAAGTCAGGATTCTCTGAAGAAGAATTCCTCGAATGTGAAATTAGAAATATTCACCGCGCACGTTGTTGATCTATCAAGACCAATTATTAAAAACACGTTCTTGAAATGCATTTCCAAACATATTAGTTTCAAACCATATTAATTTCAAAAAGCTTCGTTTTTTTTAATGTTTATTATTACTAATAACTTTAAAATAACAGCTAAAAACCAAAAATAAAAAATGGAGAAAAGCGCAATCCTAAATCTAGAATACTCCAATCATAATACAGTATTTATTTGTAATTATTCGTATTCATGTACAACTACTACATTTACGCTACTAACTTATGTGATAAAAAAAAACTTGCCTAATCAAATTTCTTAACATATAATTTGTACAAAAAATGTCACATAACTTTAATAGATACATAGGCAGACGTTTTCCATCACACTATGTTAAATAATGTTTTATCATAGTTTATTAGATTAAACGCCTCAGCTTATAAATAAATTCTGCCAGCATATTGTAGCAAGTAAAAAGAGCTAATTGAATCGCGGATATTTGTACTAAAGGACTAAATAGTAATTATTGAACAATTTTGACAGGTATTATATTTGCAATAGAGTCTTCGTTCAGTGAACCACCACCACCACCACCAATTTTCAAGGCTGATCGACCCTTCCACGTGAAAATCATTAGAATTGAGAATCTCTCCAATAACGAGCCCTCAAATGGGAAATTAGAAATGTTTACCGCACACATAGTTGGTCCCTCAGATGATGCCCAAAAATAAAAACTGATTCCTCTGATAAAGGATTGCAAAATATATATTAATATTAAGCAGTAACGTTGTAGTAAATTCTTATCAGAAATTTATGGTTGCATTTAACGCTTTTCTGTAGAAGGAAATAAATACAAATTAAAAGAGAAATCAGTGAAAAGAATCAAGCACAATCCTAATTCTACAATATTCTGATCAGTATATTGTATTTATTACTAATTATACATACTCATGTAAAATTGCTACGTTTACGTTACTAACTTATATCATAAAAAAAACTTGTTTAATCGATTAATAAATTTCAACGCATCAGCTAAAAAATTAATTCTGTAAGCATACTGCAGCTAGCAAAGGTGCTAATTGAATCGAGGATATTTACTAACTAAATAGTAATTATTGAAAAATTTTTACAGCTGTTATTATAGCCCCATATTCAACTTGGGTCGACAGACCACCACAACCACCACCAATTTTCAAGGTTGATCGTCCTTTCCACGTGAAAATCATTAGAACTGAGAATCTCTCCAATAACGAGCCCTCAAATGGGAAATTAGAAATGTTTACCGCACACGTGGTTGATCCTTCAGATGATGCCCAAAAATAAATACTGATTCCTTTGATATTAAGCATTAGTTYTGTAGTAGATTCTTATCATAAATTTATAGTTGCATTTAACGCTTTTCTGTAAAAGGAAATAAATTTTCCTGTTTAGAAATGTCCATTCAATAAATTATATAATAATTTGAAAAATCACAGAAAATAAATCTTTACAGGCGATAAAATAATATATTTTTGCGAACATATTTATTATTATAAATTAATGATTCATGCCATTAAAAATGCAAAAGTTGATAGTTCTTTCTTATATCATAAAAAAATTTACCTAATCGAACTTTTTTACGAAAAATATCACTTGACACTAATAAACACATAAGTAGAACTTATCATCATATTATATTAATTTATGTTTTATCATAATCTATTAGTTTGAAGGCATCAGATTATAAAATAATTTTCTCAGTATATTGTTGCTAGAAAAAGAGCTACTTGAATCGATGTTTATATGTGGAATATTGTTAGATGTGAGACTATATAGTAATTAATGAACAATTCTAGCAGGTTTTATTCGCTTCGGTTCTCGTTCGTACCCACTACAACCAGTACTACCACCAATTTTCAACGTTGATCGTCCTTTTCACGTGAAAATGATCAAAAAGTCTCTTCTACGAATGAGGACTCCTCATATGAGGAGTCCTCATTCGCAGAATTATCAGATTTATCATCTGATAAATTAGAACTATTCACCTCGCACGTGGTTGATCTGACAGTATAAGTCAGTATGAGTTAAAAACTAATGGGTAATGCATTACCAAATATATTAGTTTTAAACAGTTACAGTTAATATTAATTCATTTGGTTAGCTTTCGTAGAAAAAAATATATATTTTTTGATAATATCTTATTGAATACAAATTAAATGAAAAACCAGTGAAAAGAAAAAAAGTACAATCGTAAGCTTACAATACTCTGATCAGTATACATTATTTATTACAACTTATTCTTATTTCTGTTAAATTCTCATGTTTACTTTACTAACTGATATCATAAAATAACTTGCTTAATCGTACTTCTTAATGTAAAATTAGCACGCAAAATATCACTAGAACCCAATAAATACATAAGCAGACGCTTACTATAATACTATGTCAAACTATCTCTTATCAAACTCTATTATTTAGAAATTGACTTCTCTAAGCATGCTGCCGTTACAAAGAAGCAAGAAGCATCGATCATGCTTATACATGGAATGTTTTTTAAATATAATCCTACATATATAAATAATTACTGAACAATCTCAGCAGGTACTCTAACGCGACATTCGAGTTCACTTAAAAGACCACCACCGGCTCCAATTTTCATAGTGGATCATCCGTTCTACGTGAAAATAATTAGAGCAGAGGATATTTCGAATAAGAATTCCTCAAATACGAGATTAGAAATGTTCATCGCGCACGTGATCGATCCACTAATATCAATCAAGGAATAAAAACTAACTCCTCTGATAATACATTACCAAATATACTAATGTTAAACAATTACGTTGCTATATACTCTTATTAATAAATGTATATTAGTGTTTTCTGCTTTGATGTAAAAGGGATTAAATATCTTCCCTTTTTAACTATTTAATTTAATATATATTATATGAGATACATTTCTCAGAATAAATCATTACTAACAAGAAAAATAATGTATGTTTGTGTCTATATTTACAAATATCAATGATTGATTCGATCAATTCTAAATGGGAAACGTTGATCCAAAAATTAATGGAAAAAATGTGTAAAACTCTACTTATTATCCAAATAGTTGTCCGAAAACAAATCCATTCTTGTTCGAAAAAAATATCAGTAATAATATGTGACAATAACAATATTCCTATATATCTAATTAACAATACGAAAATTATTCGACGAATACAAACAAAATAATATGTGTATATTCTTATGTTCGATATTTAGGTGCAGAAATCAGCTTAATAATATCGGCTCCAATGAGAGAAGTTTTTCTTGTTGATCATCCTTTCCATCTAAGAATCATCAGAAATAATCCAGAAAATTATGAAAATGTTTTTAACAATGAGGAAAAATCCCAAACTCCTGAGATAAAACTTGAAATTTTCACTGGTCACATTATAAATCCATAAAAAAAATGCTATAAAAAATGAAACTTCGTAGAGAAATGTTTTATCAAAGAATAAATGAATACAATGTTCATTTATTTGGAGGCTTAATTAAAATAATTAATATTTTGTTTATACGTTAAATTAAATGCATTAACATGTCTCTTGTTTCTTATTTCTTTCCTCGTCTTATTGCTTTCAAATTGTTTAAGTAATGTTTTATCCTGTGAAATGCGTATCAATGGAGAATTTGTTTCAGGATTAACGATGGCACTAGCGAGTTTACCGATCGTTATTGATTTTAAGATCGATCACCCATTTTACTATAGTATCGTCCATCATGGGTTTCAAGGAGATGATTTGAACATCACGCCATTATTCCAGGGACACATCACCCATCCAAAAGTTTGAGTTTTTAATATATTATTATACTTATAGGTACTTATATGGAAATTACGAGATTATTTTTCACGAAAAATTATTTTACAAAATTCCAAATAAAATGAGCATTATTAATATTTAATAACAAGACTAACAATAAACTAAATAACAATATTAACGTAATAACAAATCATATAAAACTTTTTTTTATGTATGTGTGGATGTATGTTTATATGTATTGTATACGTACTGTTTATTTGTTATTTATTGTTAGTTTTGTTCCATCATGCTTTTGTCAATATTGTAACTAACATAAGATTTGCGGGGAAATAAATTTGAATAGAACTTCCATACTTCCCTAGTGATTGAATGCTCTGTTACAGAAATGGTCTTGCTTGAAAAGACTATTTTCTTCACATCTACATTTAACGTCGATCGTCCGTTTTACTATGCTATAGTCAAAGTAAATAACGATGGAAACAAATCCGAGAGACCAGTACGTTTATTCGAAGGTCATGTTGTTGATCCAGTTATTTAATGCTTACAACTAAAGATCTGTAATTTTGTTATTATTTAATTATGTAATATTATAATAAAATAATATATGTGCATTTATCTCTTATGTCAATTATTGAAAGAACCATTTACATTTTATTTCGTTTCTTCCTTATTATATTGTATTCGTTATTCCTTATCATGTGTGTATGGTTTATATATTTATTATTTTATTATTTTAATTAAGTAATATATCTATTAGGGTGGGTCAAAAAAATCAATTTTTTTTTTTTTACAAGTGCCACGGAAAAATGGGTTGCTAGACACCTTAAAAAAATTCTCACCAAATATGAGCTCTTAATTTTAATAGGAAGATCCTTCGCATCGCAATTTTTTATTTTTTTCTCACTCCAATAGAATAAAATTCATACCTCATTATTAATTGATTGTACTGAAAAATGTTGTTGAAGAATTTTGTAGGAAATTTAATGCTCTACAAAAAAGGTATCTTATATTGCTTCGGTAAACCTCACCATTTGAATGATATTGAAAATTTAAGTTTGATTATTTTAAGACAAATTTCATTTTTGTTTATGAATTTTATAATTCGACAATAAATGACTATTATAAAATGTGCAATACAAATTTTTGTAAGAAATTAACTGCTCTATAAAAATGGTGTCTTATGTTTTGGCGATTAAATTAGGCATTCAAAAGATATTCATCATCAAACTTTTATGTGTACTGATTTCTGTCTCTATATATAATATATGTATATATATTGATATATTATATATTGATATATGTAATATACATGTATCTACATATTGATATATGTAAATACGTATTTACATACATATATACATACAAATGTATATGTATTGTATATTTTCGTAAAATTAGTTGCATAAAATAAAATTAAAACTACCTTCCCTATTAATGCTTCGATATTAAATTATACGTAAATAAATAAATTACGCTTTTGTACATAGTTACGCATTATTTATTTAATACTTCATATGAAATAAATCTATTTTTTATTAGGGTATCATTTAACATAATCAAATAATATTCTGTTGCAGAAATGAACATTGTGTTGTTTTCTTTGACCGTTCCTGTAGAATTTGAAATTAATCGTCCATTCTACTACAGTATTATACAAAAAATACCAGCGGAGGAACACGAAAACATTGTCTCTTTATTCTCTGGTCATGTAACAGAATGATTGAATCATTTTAATAATTTTTGATGTAATATTTACATAAATGTAAAAACATGAACAATTGGAATCCATACTATGAATGAAATAAATGAATAAAAATATTTACAAAAAAGTGATCACCTAGGAAATATTATTCATATGCTATTATACTATTATAATTTTTTTTGTATTATTTAACATTCTTGTCTTTTTACATTCCTTTTTACGAATTCGAGTTACTTTTTTACTAAACCTTCTCATACATATTCAAATTTACTAATTATAAGAAAGGAGCGTCATTTTACCGCATCTCTGAAGTCAACAACAGTTGATTATTTAAATAAATTTAATTTACTTTACTGATACACAACTATTCTGTGGAGCCACAGAAACATTGAATTCTTCAAAAAATATTTGAATTTGTCACATATTACCGCCAAGGGATAACCGTGCACTCTATCGGTAGAATGTAAAATTACAATTATAACCGTTAAAATGTGAGAAATAACTTTTTCTTTAAGGACAGTTTTGATACGGCAAAATGGTTAACGTAAAGTGTTATTTTATCAATATGGAATAATTTACTGTTCAGATACCAGTCTGGTTTGAACAAGTATATAATAATCATTTACACATTCCTTATATTATTAAAAATATAACGAGTAAATAATATAATAATTTATATAAATAATCCATAAAAAACGTTATTATGATTGATTATTCAAATATTTAGTATATAATAGATAATATACTTATTGTTAGTATGGAGTCTTCCAATAACCAAAGTACGATGTCGTGGAGTAGTGCAGGCCGATCACGCGGAAGAGCAAAATCAATTGACACTCAGTTAAGAAGGCCTGGAACAAATTCATGCAGCAAATACAATCAATATGTATGCACTGAAATTATTACTGGAATTAAAAAGCTTGCTATCAATGAGTGCATACTACCCGAACAAATAAATGACATAGTTAATCTTGTTCCTACTACTAAGGATGAAGATACATTAAAGTATTTTTTTTTTATTTTATATTTCAATGGAACATTTTTACTCTCTTTCATTTTTCTTTAATTAAAGATAAAACATTTTAGGAATCTTTTCAATACGCTGTATAAACACGCTTTGGAGGATAGAAGTTTCGGCATAAAGTTAGCAACTTTATTCAGCGATGTAGCATTCTTTTCTATTGAAGTTAATGAAAATCAAACTATGCGATATCTATTACTGAGTGCACTGCAAAATGATTACAAAAGTGTGTTGTGTCACTTATTAATATTTCTAATTTGTCATTCCTATTTATTTTATAATTCTAATCAATGAGTATTTCTTTTTTAGGAAGGGAAGAAATTAAAGAAGAAAGTATTACATTGTTTCGGAACGTTATCTCATTACTCGGAGAAGTATATTATCAAATGACATTAATATCGGGTAAACCTCTAAAATTTTTAGAAATACCATTGCTCGATTTTTGGAACATGTTACTAGAAACTGCAACCGAGGAAGATATTGAACTTGTCACAACACAGGTGTTTCATGATCGTTTAATTTTTATTAGTACATAAGTTATTTTAAATGATATTATTTATACAAATAGAGAGTCTAATGAAGTCTTAACCTAATCTTTACATCTTTCATTGTAGATTATTATTACTGGTAGAGGCATGTATGGAAGACCAGAATTAGATCAATTTATGTTAAATATAAGAAAAACTCTTACGAATAATACTCTATCAAGCACAGCTAAAGAAATGTTGTTATTAACAATTGATTTAGCTAATCAACAATTTCATTTATTGCCGAAGATTTTAAACGATTATTACAACTCTCGCCTTGATCCAGCAATTCTGATATATTTACATAGACATAACAGAGAACTCAATAGTAATGAAACTGATGAAGGTAGTTATAGAGAGATCGGTAACATTGTTTCTTATCAGGCATGTTATTCGCATTTTAAATAAAGTAATAGATGAGATGACATGATAATTAAATCTCTTATTATATGTAGAATCTACAAAAACTTTGATGCAAAAGAAGAATAATGTAGATCAAGATTTTGAGACATGTAGTACTTCAATGCTACAACCTAAACAACAAGAAACTGCTGAAAATTCAGAAGAAAAAGATTATTTGGTAATGGATACTTATAAAAAGAATTTAAGAACTGAGAATACTATTCCAAGAGCAATACGTGGACCTGGAGCAAATAAAAATTTCCAAAATAGATCTAAACCTATAACAAATCCAATACCACCTAAATCCATGAGTAGGAACAAAGGATGGGAACATGATGATCGATTTGAAGATGCTTATGATTAACTTATAAATAATAAACAGTACTAAAACACAAACAATTACAATTATAATTGTGTAAAAAAGAAAAGACGTATCAATAATTGCAAAATAATTGTAATAGAAATTTATTGCATTTTTAATATACCCATAAATTCGTTTATCCTACAAAAGGAAGTTATAAACTGGAAAGTTCTTATTTATAATTTTTTCTTAGAAAATAATGTTTAACGTATGTATAACAAATATGTTTAACTCCAAAAATTGTCATATTTTCTTTTAATTCAAAAAACTGAACAGAACTTTTCAATAGACATAATACTAGATAAAGAAAGCAAAATAGCAAAGTGACCGGTGGACAATAACATTGTTTTTTATTTATGAAAATTTAAAAAATGTTTACATAGGCATATTACGATGAACCGTATTAAAACATGGCAAACAATAATAAGGGTTGTCAGTACAATTTCCACAATATGTAGTTACTTTCTTTGTACGATTCTTTGCATATACTCGACCAAATTCCTTTGCATTATCTTCATAACATTTTTTGCATCGTCGCCTAATTTTTCGTGCGCTTCCACTTTTTTTTTGTATTTCGTGATGCTTTCTAATTGCAATTTGTGGTCTGGGTAAAGATGCATTGTCAGTGTCGCCTTTACGTGTTGTTAGTTGTGTTACTAATTTTTGTTGAAATTCCAAAATTGACATACGTTGGGTTATTATATTGTTATACATTACCCAAGCATTTATTACTGAGGTTTTAAGCAAAAGTTCAAAAGCTATTCTTTTATACCATTTTTGACCTTTTCTTAGAGGATTGAAATATGATTTTATCTGACCAGATATATCAACATATGACTTATTGGCGTTATAATCTACAAAAATCTTTGGTTTAATAGAACTATTTTTTCGACCAGCAACTGTAACCATCTCCACAGAATGTTTAGTTGAAAGCATAAGTATGTCTCGTTTATCCTTCCATTTCAAAATAGTTAATCCATTTTTATGTTCTCTTGCAATCATTTCACCCTGTTTTAGCTTTTGCGATAATATTTCTTTTGGAATGCCTTGACGATTTGCTTGAAGAGTTCCAATTAAATGCGTGCCAAGAGAAAGTAATTTTTCAGCTAACACGATACTTGTATACCTTTTATTTGTACACAACGTATGTCCTTGGTTCATTATATTTTGACAGAGAGACATTACAACATTTATAGTTGATGTTTCTTTTGTATTTGTAGTTTCTCCCGCATATAATTGAAACGAATTTACATATCCTGATGTGCTGCATAACTTAAATAATTTTATATATTGCCTAGATATAGTTTTTCCACGGAATGGGATTATAGATTCATCAATACAAACAGTTTCGCTAGGATTATAATATTCTTGAAAATTTTTATTTAAAATGTCAGTCAATGTTTCTAACTTACATAATATGTCATTCGGATTAACAATTTTTTCATTGTCCGCAAAATGTAACATTCTCAATAATATTTCAAATCTATTGCGGGACATTACAGTACGTGGAAAACTTTGTGAGAAAAAAGAATCCGTTGTCCAATACATTTGTATACTTGGAAGTTTCACCAATCCCATCCACATAATCAAACCAAAAAATTGTTTAATTTCTTGTGCATTAGTAGGTACCCATTTATTTAATCGTTCAGATTGATTCTTTTCCATTACTTGATTTGCATAATGATTAGTTTGATTTACAATTAACGTGAGTATCTCATCATCAAAAAATAATAAGTAAAAGTCTATTGGTGAAGTGCATTTAGCAACTTTAGAGTTTGATAAATTGATACCAGGTATGCCAGAAAAACATTCCAAATTGGGTTGATTGCCATTTGGATTGAACCATATTTGTTTATCATTGGTACCTTCATACCATTCACTATCATGTTCACTCTCTGTCTCATCATCAGATAAAATTCTAGACAGTTTAGATTTATATGATTTGAATATTTCATCAAACGATGAATCACTAAAACCTTCTTCAGACGACATATCTTTGGTGGACGGACAATAGAATATAAGTAAAAATTGTTGTCAAAATAAGATATGCTAATATATTCTACATTATTAACTATTATTTATGGTATGTATATTTAATAAATTATAAGTACGAGACATATGTTATCAACTTTCATACATGAAAATTGAATACTTAACATCTGATCTTTTATTCACTGTTAAAAATATATATATTCTTCTATAACAATGGTTATTTCAGAGAATAATGATGTATAACATACGTGGAACCAGATATTCTGCTTGCTGTATCGTTTAACAAGAATAATTGCTCAATAATTGTGACAACAAATGAAATGATAAAAAACAAAACGATTGTCCAATTTTTTTCTGATTACACTACGAGAATTAACAATGAAGAAGGACAGGCAAATAAATCATTAGACATTAGTATCGTTCAATAATACGATTCAATTTAGTATTCTATTATTCTATTCAATATAATACACTATCTTATTATTTTAACCAAAAACGTGTGACGATCGAAGCTGAATGTATTTATATTGACATTGTTATTTGTGTTGGTGTATTGTCGGTAATATAGGATACGATAGAAAAGGGATAAGTATTAGACAGTATCAAATCTATATTATATCTTATCTGTGGTAAAACCTTTAGCAAAAATCAAGCTCTTGTCATTTAAGGATGGAAGGAGATGTAGGTGTAGACATGTAGGTGACAGTGATATTTAATCATAAATTTGTTAATGAAAGTAGTATAATTAATTATTAGATATAAGCATCTGTGGATATTAATTTAATGTGGGTGTTCCAAAAGAATAACAAATATTTTACAGATATTTTCTTATTAACAATTAATGTCACATTTATTTTTAATGAATTTAAATTAGACTAAATAATTATTTTCTTTTTTTAATAAATTATCATATTTTGTTATTTAATCGTTTACTTCAATGTTGATATTAATATTTAATAATTACTATATTTTCTTGCTTTAAAATTTCTATATAAAATATTTGTTACTTATTTAGATGTAAATTATATATTAAAAAGAAATACAATTTATATATAAAATGATTGATCATTTTTCAGACTAATTATATTATCTTTGATATTAATTTAAACCATTTATTAATAATTATAGAATTTTATCAAAAGAGGGTTTCACTAAGACATTTATAATGTCTTCGGTTCAACGAGCTTTTGCTCATAAGTTGAGCAAACAGCATGCAGCAGATGTAAGACGACAAATTGCCACCTCTACCTCGTATTCACGAGACTTGTCGAAAAGTGGTAGTAGTATTTCAGGTTTTTCTTCAACTGTAAGTTTTTCTTAAATTTATTTATATCAAAAGATATTTCTTAAAATGTAACCAAGATCTATATTTTCATTTGAAGATGTCTTTATGCGAAGTACTTGAACCACTTGATTATGAAGAATTTCTTGTACAACATCAATCGGTTTTAGACAGAGATCCATTGAGACCGATATTAGATTTTCCTCTTGAAGATGTCGAGCTTAGAATTGTAAAACGAAAAATTCGAACAGAAGAACCGATAGTGCCATATGAACCATTGTAAGTGCTTTTATAATAACCATATTAAATAATATAGTAATACATAATTATGATTTTATTTACAGGGATACAGTATCACCTTATGTCAGAAGATGTATCGAAAGTTTTACTTCAGATTGGGTTATGGTACATAGAAAATACAGAGGAAGAGTATCTCCCATTGCTAGAGATAGATTACTTCAAGATACACCCAGACAGGATTTTGAGGTAATTTAATATAAACATCATTTTTATTTATGTATAAATACTGACTTAAAAATTTGTTGTACGTCGAGTAGATAGATCAAGAAGATACAAATGGTTCTGGATCGCCAAACGAAGAAGAAGATTCATCAAATTGTGGAGATACACCAAGAGGTTCTTGGGCAAGTTTGGATTTAAGACATTCCCAACATGATCCACTTCTTCCAAGCTTATTGGACAGAGTTTGTCCAGAAACAATTGATCAAATGAATGAACAAAAACGTTCAGAGGATAGACAAGTTAGTAATTCATTTAAAAATATTTATATGCAGTATATATGTATAATAATAATATTGTTAAATAATTTATTGGAAAATATTGAGATGAGATTAATTTTAGGAAGCATTATTTCCGTTGTATGCTCTTCCAACTTCTCCTGACGATGAATGGCAAGAAATTAGTGCTGCCCCTGAACCATCTGATCCTTTTTCTCATAAAATTTTTGTAAAATGTCTTCAATTAAAATTGGAATTGGAAGTTGAACCAATATTTGCTAGTCTTGCATTATACGATGCTAGAGAGAAGAAGAAGGTATATATCAAATAGATTTTAATACTTGAATATTAATGAGTAATATAATTTTACGACATATTTTAGGTTTCAGAAAATTTCTATGTGGATATGAATTCGGAAGGTTTAAAAAGAATGCTTGGAGGACATATAGCTTACAGCGATGCTAGTACATTAGCTAGAAGTTGCGTTATGAGTATCAGTAAACCAAGTCCTGATTTATTTTTGGTTGTCAGATTAGAAAAAGTATTACAAGGTGATATTTCCGAATGTGCCGAACCATATTTACGTGAGGATAAGAATAAGGAAAAAGTAATTTTATTCATATTGTTAATTCTATAAAAAGAATGATAATTTTCATTAAAATGAATAATTTATAAAAATATTTCTAAAATTACATAGGTAAGAGCAGCCGCTGTAGCAGCGTGCGATCGATTGGGTCGTTACAGGATGCCATTTGCATGGACTGCAATTCATTTATCTGGAGTTATAAATGGTGGTGGTGGTGATACAGATAACACTGGTAGTGCAGGCTCATTAGATAGAAAGTCAGGTGGTTTAGAACAATGGCGAAAAAAAGTAGAAACTCCAACTCGACGAGGTTCATTGGAAAGACGCAGTTCTGATAAAAGAAGAAGTTGGTCACCTGACGATTTTGCTAACTGTCTTGATACTTTCAGGTACACATATAGAAATATAGTTTTTTTTTTCTTTAATATATGCAACATTAAAATAATTACAAAATTTTATTTTGATTTATTGTAGGCCTATTACATTGAAAGTTTCAAGTTTTTTCAAACAAGAAAGTGAACGATTAAGAGATGAAGATTTATATAAACTTCTAGTTGAATTACGTCGTCCAGGTTCTAATTTGAAACGATTAAAATGTATACCAGGAATTTTAAAATTAGATCTTAGTCCAAGACCTGAGGAATTACCTAGGTGTCTTGATGTTGATCTTAGAAGATTAATACCATATCCAGACGAAAAAAGCCGACCCGTTAAAGAAATACTTGAATTTCCTAGCGAAGTTATTTCTCCAGATTTAACATATCGTAATTTACTTTACGTTTATCCAAAGGTTCGTAGTATTAATTGATATTCGACCAATAAATAAAATAATCATTAAAATATATGAATTATATATTACATTTGATGTATTTTTGTATGTAGGAGGTAAACTTCAGTTCTAGAACAGGATCAGCACGCAATATAACTGTTCGTATTCAGCTTATGGGCGGTGAACAAGAAGCAGATGCATTAACAGCTATATTTGGAAGATCTTCTTGTCCTGAAATGACACACGAATGTTTTACATCTGTTTCTTACCATAACAAAAATCCAAATTTTTATGATGAAGTAAAGATCAGACTTCCTGCTGATTTAGGTGCTAAGCATCATTTGTTGTTTACTTTTTATCACATTAGTTGTCAGAAAAAAGCTGAACAGCCGAATGTTGAAACGGCTGTAGCTTATACGGTAAATATGACACACTTTTAGATGAACAGTAAATAAGAATTATGTAAAATGTAGACAGAGAATTTTATATAATTTTATATATATATTTCAGTGGCTACCACTTTTAAGAGATGGACACCTTCAATCTGGTGAATTTAGTCTGCCTGCTATGTTAGATCCACCTCCAGCAAATTATTCTTATATCGCCCCTGATGTTCTATTACCAGGAACTAGATGGGTAGATGCTCATAGAGGAGTTTTCACAGTTATATTAGAACCAGTTTCTAGTGTACATCCACAAGATAAATATATCGACAGGTAATATTCATTGTAATAATTTATGATTTTTAAATTTAAATTTTTTCAACCGTATAATTAAAATAATTTAATATACTTAAATTACAGATTCTTATCACTTTGTGGCTTTTTGGAAACTGGACAAGTACCACCACGTATTGGAGAGGCAGGAATGGAATCAGAATTGAAATCAGCTCTTATGGAATTAGCACGAGCTTCTCCTTCTGCCTTGGTTCGCTCGTTGCCACAGTTATTAGATCAATTAATTGCACTTTTAGTGCGACCACCTACATTACCATCTCAGTCATTAAATGTAGCAGCCACTATTTTCGAGGCACTAGGTCTTTTAGTTCGTAAAATAACGAATTTACCGGATGGTCAAGTTGATGCACATGGAAGACATGCATTGCTAGCAACATACATAGCATATCAATGCTCATTACCTACCACATCTCAAACCCCAGGAGTCATGAGAGCCCAAAGTAATCCTGACTTACCCGTGGAGGATTTAGAAATGGAAGTTCATTCTCGAGGATTAGACAGAACTGCATCAATGAGACAAGAATCGCCGTCAATAAACAGTCAACCATCTAGAAGATTACTACATGAAGAAATAGCGTTACATTGGGTGGTTTCCACCGGACAAGCACGAGAATTAGCTATAACTCATTCTTGGTTTTTCTTAGAATTAATAGTTCGTTCTATGGTAGTAACATTGTCGGAATTGGATATGTTGGAAGCACCAAGAAAATCGAGATTTTCACCACAATTTTGTGACGACATAGCAACACTTGCTGCAGCTCTAACATCAGAAGTTATTTCACGGTGTGGAAAAGAAAATCGTGTAGCATCTAACTTAGTTTCAAGTCTCGGCAATTTTCTCTCCGATTTATTGTCCGTTATGGATAGGGGATTTGTATTATCTCTCGTT